TACCTGGAAAATGGAATTTTGAGCCAATCGTATTGAAAGCCCTTGATGAGAATGGGCCCTGGTTGTGAGTCTGTGGGAGTTCCAGCAATGAAAATGATGATAATAATAATAAACATTTGTTGCCCATTAGGATTTCACGTATATTATCTCTTATGATGGAGATTTGATCATGTTGGTGAAAATACACATTGAGTTAAGATGAGGAGGAGGTCATGCATTGCAGAAGAAGGAGGCCAGAATAGTTTATCTTGGTAATTGCAACAAAGTAAGACTATTGATGACAGTGGATTTGGTCATGCCAGGAATTAGCTCTTCTTTGCCAAAGTCTTCAGAATGAAACCCCACCTTCTACAGTTGTCTTATTTCTTCCATTGTTGCTCAATGGTTAATCAGCCTCCTTTCTTTATCAAGCATCTACTGTTGAGGTGCTCTATGGGGAACAAAGAGGTACAAGAATTGTTCTCAGCCCTTAAGGAGTTTTCTAATTAGTCAACAAAAAGTTGACCAAAGATACAAGAAAATTCAGAAATTCTGAATGATGTTCTAGAGCAAAGGTTCTCAAAGTGTGGTCCTGGGACCAGCAGATTCAACATCACCTAGGGACTTACTAGAAGTGCAGATACTCAGGCTTCACCCCAAATGTACTAATCAGAAACCCTGGGGAGGGGCAATCTATGTTTAACAATCCTTCTAGATGATTATGATACAAATATTGGAGAACTGCTGGTCTAGAGATAACAGGACTATTTGAGTTCCTGAGGAAAGAGAGCTCAGAGCTGCTAGGAGAATCACAGACTTTTCTGGAAGAACTAGCACCTAATTTGGGAATCCCATTATCTTTTTAAAGATGCTCCATCCTCTTGGCTCCTCTGCCTACACATCTCTTGGATCTCTTGGGTTTTTTATCTCCAATTGATATATGAACCACTTAACTTAAAAAAAAAGTCCTGCAAGTATGAAGAGTATATTGCACCTACTTTATTGGGAATGGACTGCCTAACTTTAGAGGAGCAGTTTCACCTGATGACAAAATTCTATCTGGGAATTTGATGTTTCCTTTTTGTTATTAATTATAAACAGTCTGGGCTTTTTCTTTCGCCAGTTCAAGACCAAGTGGACCTTCTCAGTGTTTATCACCTCAAAGTGATGGACATGATTTCTGGTGAAGGTCCCCCTGATTTCTCCATTAGGTTATCACCTCTACAGATCTTAAATTTTAACATCAGTTTCAGGGATGCTTATGTAAAAGGAAGTAAAATACTTGAGTATGAATTAGTTCTTATTTTACCTCCTTCTTATTTTGCTACGTTTCTGTCATTTCCTCAGCTTCTATGAGATATACTCAGAAGAGCAAGGAATGAATGCAATATTTGTGAACAGAATCAGAGAACCTAGCTCTATACACAAGAGAGTCCATGTTCTGAGTCATTTCTGTCCCACAGGAGGGAGCCCGCAATGTACTTTAGTTTTCCCAGAACTGAGAATGGATGGAAAAAATAGGGGGTACATTAATGTCTGAAGGTTGCCTTAGAAGGGGTTGTACCTCACTGATCTTAGTTGAGGCCCAAAGAGGAAATGAACAAAGCTCATAATCCTGATATTTATTAAGTCTTTAAAATTTTGCATCTGGCATATAAAGTGACCTTATGGGAGAGCATATTAGCACATTCCAAAGTTAAAATATTAGTGTGTTGACTTACAGATTGGGGAAATACATAGGAAAGGCAGTGTAAGGGAATCTGGGTTGGAAGCCAAAGAAATCTAGATGAAAGGAATGCGCCTGCAGCACTCTGAGATCACAAATGGATATTCCCAAGAGTTGGAAAGACCAACAGCATGAATATCCTTAGAGACTCAGGGTCAATTAGGTTGTGCACCTGGATGATGCTTGCATCCCATTAAACATCAGCCCTGGGAAGTGATCAGGCTTGAGCTTGGAGATGTATGCCTACAGAGCATACACTTACTTTCGATCATCCCTTGTTCCCATGGACAACTTTGTCTGTTAGAAAGTTCTCTTGCATTTTGTAAACTTCGCACTTAAATTTTTGATTAATTTTTACATTCAGTAGATCTCCCTAGAGTATTCACCTATTGCTTTTCCCTCCTCTACCCCTTCCTAAGTCTTCCCCAGGTTAACCAGCCCTATTTCTTACACCGCTTTTTGGATAAATGAATGAAATGTAGTCTTCAATCATACCACCATCTTAATCACTCTCTTTTTCAGTGGTCCTTAAACTCTTGAGACTGTGAACCTTTTTGAAAATCTGATAAAATATATGTGATATCTCCTTAGATAAATTCACTTGTGCCAATAAGTACATATTTTTGTTAAAATTTCAGGAGATTCAGTTTGCCCCACCCCACCGCCAAAGCCCATCTATGGACTCTCAGTTAAGAATTTAGTCTATATCCTTTCTGAATGGTGACATTCAAAGTTAACCACAGTTTTCCTTTGTGTTCTCATCAATGTAGAATAAACCAGGATATTGCCTGTTTTGTTGTAGATTATATACAAATTTCTGTTAATGCATTCCAATATCACCCTAAATATTTTTGTCTCCCTGAAGTGTTCATTTATATTGGTCACATTGTATATGGAAACTCTTTAGCTGCTGTTATTATCATCATCATCATCATCATCATTATTACTATTATATTTTTACTTAACCTAGTCTGCTGCAAAAGCCCATTTCTTTTATCCAATGCTTGTGTAATTGCCAAGGGGAGGACCTGATATTTCTCCCTGTTGCATCACATCTTATTAAATTCAGCCTGTCTCTTCAGCTTGTCAAGACCTTATTGAGGCCTAGTTCTGCCATCCAGCATATTGACTGTCCCTTCCAGCTTCGTGTCATCAGAAAATGTGATGTCTATTGATGGCCATTAATTTCATGTCTTCAAGTCATTAATAAAAATGATGAATAAGAAAGAACAGACACCAGAGTCTTGCAGCTGACTTCTTCCATTCTCCCTTCTGGTTGATTCTCATGCTTTAATTAGGTACCATTCAAGCAATTACCAAGCCACATACTTTTATTAGCACCTGGCCCACATTTTTTCATGTTTTCTTCAAGACTGCTATGGCAGACCCTGTCAGAGGACTTGCTGATATCCAGGTGAATCCTAGGCCTCATAGTTCCCTCTTCTAACTGCCTAGTAATCCTGTCATAGAAAAGAATGGGATTAATCTGACATGATGTATTTGGGGAACTATGAAATAACTGGAACGTCTTTGAAGTAGGCAGAAGTATGTGACTTAGCATCATAATGTCCTGTTACTCAGAGTACTCCAGTCAGGAAAGAATTAGTAGAGTTGGTGGTATTTGAATGTGGGAGGATTTGGATAGACTGGAGAGACAGGGAAGAAGACATTTGTCAGCTTTTCTCTATTGTTGTTGATTTTTTTGTTGTTGTTTTTTCCCTGATGAGCTTATCAACTTAACTGAGTCTCCTTGTATCAAACAACTGGAAAATATTTTATGAGATAAGAACTATTTTGTCAGAGATTTGAAATGGACTACCGTGTGATCTCTCCATGCAATGAATTTAGAGCTAAAAGGTGGGAATATTTTAGTGGATGGCCTGGCATTGATGTATTGAACATGGAGACCACTGAATATAGCAAGAATGCAAGAGAACAGAGAATCCAGAGGAGAGAGAGGTTCACTCTGCTCTACACTGTATCAGCCACACATCCTGAATACACTAGGCCGACTAGTAGGATTCTACTACCAGTGCTAAGCTCAGATTTACGCAAAGCTCATGCAGTTTTACTAAAGGAGAGATCCTCTGTCTCTCCCTCAAAGTCTGTTTAATCTTTAGACAGGGTTCTAAAAGTTTTATTTAACTTTCAACCCATAGCGCTTTCAAAGTCATTTCCTGAAGTGCATTTTAAGTTGTACGATCTACAAAACAATCCTATTGCTTTCCCTATTTCTCAACTTTCATCAGCCTCTACCCCTCTAATAAGAGTCCTCATCCTTTAAATAGGAGAAGGATAATGTCTGTTGATGAGAGTTAGTCTCTGAGGTATCACCATAGGAATATTTGAACTTGGGGAGAGGAGACTCCAAGGCTGGTAGTGTGATTAAGTCTTTTTGAAGTAGATGTCATCCAATTCCTTGAAAGACTTCAGTTGGTGTAAGTTCCCAGCATGATTGGACCCCCTTTACATCACTGTGATAGATGTCTTGCATTGTAATTGCAAGCTATGCCACCCGAGTGGACTATAGCTGATCAGTCTTTTTTTTTTTTTTTCCATTTTTCTCGAGACCATTGATCATTCATATTTATAGGGCTATCAACTTCTGGGCTTTGGAAAGGTCAGTATTGATTATCTAAGTTACGCAGATGGTGTGCTGCTTTACTATACATAAATGGGAATTACTTTTATGAGATTGCTGTTTTTTGTTTTTTTTTTTTTCCCAGGGGAAGAAGAGGGAAGGTGGCATACATATGAGTTAAGCAGTGGGGATTTCAAATAAACACCCTTAGATTCAGTCAGGATTTTGGAATTGCCAGGGTCATACTTTAGATTAGCGAATTCACACACACACACATAATCTGCTTTACAGACAAGGAAACTGAGTCCCTGGCAGTGAACATCAGCAGATAAGATGCCAGTGCTTACATGAAGGAAATACAGAAGGCTGTATGTCAGAATACAAACAATGGTTTTATCTGGGAGGTGGGTTTTGGACTATCAGGTGAATTTTTTTCTTCACTGTGTTTTCTGTATTCTAAATGCTTCTTATAAAGCAGATATATTAGTTTTGCAATAAAATAATGGCTTTGAGCCCAATGTGAATGCCATGCTAATTGGCTAGAGCTGTGTGTAAAGTGGACTTTCTGTTCAATGATGCTCAAGGAAATCACTTTTGCAGATCCAGTAAAGTACAGGCTGCAGCTAAATCCTCTGTTCCCCAGCCGTGTTGCATTGGTGACTGACTGTGGGGCCTTCTCTGCTTGTCTTTTTCATCCCTCCCCTAAACTCTTAGAGTTTTTGGCCACTTCAGCCTCCGCTCTGAATGGCAGCTAGTGAAAGTGGACTACAAATCCATCTTCAGCCGGCGATGCACCAAGGAGGACTATCAGACCTGGCACCTGCTCAATCAGGTATACCACAGGGTGGAAGTCCTGGCTTCTAGGAAAGAAAGCTGCTGATCCTGCTTGGTCTTACCGGGACCTTCCTGTTGGAGAGGGGTATGGTAGTAGGTCATCTGAGATAATGGGTGTAGATTTAGGGGTAAGGGTTAGAGTCCATAAATCCACGTTCAGTAGGGACATATCATATCTAAGGACATTTTTCACCTTGGGATCCTGATCTACTTATTGACATCTGTGAGTAACTAGTGAACACTCTGGGAGAGAGGCGATACTGATAACCTGTGGTTTTAGCTCTATCCATGGAGCACTAGACAGCTACAAGGCCCTCTAGTGGTTTGATCCTCTTATCTACCAATGTGGAATTGATATCATTTCTCAGGCCAACCTTAAGCAAGGACCCCAAAGTATTGGGAACAGGACCACTGAGAAAAGTTCAGGCCAAGACAAAGAAAATTTTCGGTATGAGGGAAGGAATTCTCTAGCAATGGCAGATATTTGTTGCTGGGCAACATAGGCAGGCTTTGTCCTTCTTCTGAACCACTAGATCCTTGTCACTTCTACCAACTTCTCCATTTGTCCCTGACTAGGAAGGAGGACTTGAGTATGGTCATTTATCATAGAGAGGGAACTTTTTGGGTAGATTTCATTATTGCTTTGATGTGAAAACTATGCCAAACATTGACCCTCTTCCGCTAGGATTTCAGCAGAAGCCATTTGGGTGATTCCCTGGTGGCTTGTGAGGGTGCCTGGAGTCTTTGCGTTCTCTGTGTAGGTGGAGAAGAAACAGGACAGCATAGGCATCACTTGCTCGGGTGGGTGGAGGGGTAGTGGTAGGCCAGTCTGCTAACATGTTCCTTTAGTTTGGTAGTAAAACATGAGCACTTTTATTCGTGAAACTCCCAAATGGTTATTACGAATGAGATTGTGACATAGGGTGACCAAAAAAGAATGAAAACACTCATGCTTCTTGTGGAGAAGCTGGTTTGTTTTGCCTTCTTTGTATTTTTGTACATCTCTCACTATGGGTTTTTTCCTAAGGGGGAACCTTGTGTCATGGGAGAAAGGAAAATATTCAAGAAACGCAAGCCAGGAGCTCAGTGTGCCCTGGGCCGAGACTACTCTGGGACGGTGGTCTCAGAACCCTGCGTCTGTGCTGACTGGGACTTCGAGTGGTGAGTCCCTTGACATTTCATCACCAATTCCTACAGACTTTTCCCCATTGAAGGATGGGAACAAAGATGGAGTTAGGGGAAGAAGGCATGGCACAGGGGTAGGAGATGTGTCTGCTGGCCTGTGGGCCCTATAAGCCTGGTTCCAGGGCCAGATGAGAGACCTGTGTCCCTGTGACACACGGAGGATCACTACTCTATCAGAGCAGCATTTCAAAGTAAGCTTCTCCTCACCTTCAGTTAGGAGCTGTATTGGGAAGTACCAGAGAGGTCGGGGCTGGGCCCTGACAAAACTACTTCCTTGGACATACTGACCTTCAGACACATTCACTCCAATTGCACTCTTCCACATGAACTCTTTCATGGTGTCCTCCTTCTCCCTCCAATGACAACCACAAAGAATAGTTTTAAATCACATCCAGTAGCCAGTGACTCCCAGATTGCCAAATATTTACCTCCAGAGCTTGGCCTTCCTCTCCTCTAGAATCAAGATGTATGTGTCCATCTACCTGCTTGGCATTTATCTCCTCTTGAATTGCTAATAAGGATTTGAAACTTAAGGTGGCCAAAGCAGAACCTTTCTTGAACCACCCCAGGGGAGGCTGTTCCTGCCCACTTATTCCAACTTCAGTGAAACGCACAGCAATCCACTCAGTTGCTTAAGTCAAAACCCCAGGAAGGCTTGGTTTCTTCCTTTCCCTCATGCTCAGATTTAAACCCTCAGTGAGCTCTTGAAATCTCTACCTCCAAAATGTATTGCAGCTGAAACACCTCTACCCATCTCCACCATTACTGCCTGGATCACTCCAAGAGTCTACTATCTGTCTCTCCACTTCCACCCTTGTCACCCTGAAGTCCATTCTTCTTAACACCAAAGTTATATTTTAAAAACACAAATCAGATCTTTTCATTCCTATGCTTAAAACACTCCAATGACTGCCTTTCTCCCTTAAAATATAATACAATTTTCTTTCCTTAGCTTGCTCAGTTGTAGGTGATTTGGTTCCTGCTCTAACTTTGTGTCTTAATTTCTTACTGTTCTTTCCTCATTGACTATATGTCATCTACATGAGCATCTTCCTGTACCTTAATTAATCTAGGTTCATTCCCAGCAGAGGGAACAGCAAGTACAAGGACTTCTTTTTGCAAATCTCAGCATGGTTGGCACCGTAGGATGACTCATATCTCAGCAAAAATATCAGCTCTCCAGAAATGCCTTCTGAGACAACCTAACCTCATATACACCCAGGCACTTTCTGTTACATTGCCTTGTTTCATTATCTTCTTAGTATTAATCACCATATAATATGATCATGCTTTTGATTGCTTTATAATTGCCTATCTTTTCCCAGTAGAAAAAGTACTCTGTGTGCAGGGATAGACATTTTAAATTGTTATATCTTCAGTGCCTAGCCCATAGTAAGCATTCAATAAATAGATGTAGCATGTTTGTGAACATTGTTCCTTTTAGGAGAGTCCAAAGCCTCCCTAGTGCTGTATAAATGGGTGCATATCACTCTAAGCTCAGCCAAAAGACTTTCTTCTTCTCATCGCAGTCAAAAGCTGAAATTCAATTTGTATATTTACATAGCACATTCTAAGTGAAAAGGAAGAGCTGAGAGCTCAGGAATTACCCTGTAAACATGGAAGAGGCAGGGCAATGAAAGGGTTGCGTTTGGGCTCTTTTGTTGCCTAATGGCAGATCCAAGTCCAGATGGGTACAGAGTAAGTGTCTCTGCCCAAGAGCCTCACCTGTTGCATTCTTGTTTCATCCAGCCTATTTCTAGAGCATCAGCTTTTATTTCCCAATTTCTACTAGGTATATAACAACTGGTAACTGTCACTGCTCCCCACCTGCTCTTCATCCCTGAATTCATGCCCTTGGAAAGCCTGGCTTCACTGAGCATCATTAAAATCAGACATATTAAATAGAATTTAAATTAGAATAGTTAGGTCCTTTCTACGGCAATTTTGACCCTTTGGAGCTAAAAGACCTTTTCACACTTGGGAACAATAATGTTCAATTATTAACTACAAATCCTGCAAAACAGTCATAGTATTGTGTACAATAAGGTATTCAGAATTATGGCTCATGACATATTGACATCAACCAGAATGTTCAGAATCTGAATTTCAGGCTTCCTTGTGTTCTTCTGCGTACTGACTCCAGCAAGACATAATGTCTTTGAATATGCCATGCTGCATTTTCTCCTGTGTCTCTCTGTCACATTGTTAGAAACCCTGGCAATTGAGAAGGATCAATATTTTTCTTCCAGTAATTTCGTTGTCATCCGCTGGTCTAGACAAGCATCCTAGCTCTTCTTATATTTCCACCTTTGGACCTAAAGAAAATTTCTAAATCTTTTTTACTTCAACTCCTCATGTGTAAAATCCAAATAATAATGTGTATCTCAAGGGGTCCTTGGGAAGAATACATTAACTGACAAATGAATGAATGTAGGTAATTAATGTAGAGGAGGCGTTTATCCTCCTGGTATACACCATAGATGCCCAACATGTGGTAGCAGTTGCTGCTGCCGCTGTTGCTGTTAATCTTGTACCCCAGGGTTAAATGGCCCCCAGGGTATTTTTAGCAAGGAAAACAGAGCTTATACATCCAAATAAGTGCTGTCTTCAAAGTAGTACCTTTGGGTGTTATCCATTTATTTCAATGCTGATGGCATTGCTTAAAATATTTCTGAATCCTTCTTTGGGAACTGCTGTCAGAATCGATTTACACATAGGTAAGGCAGAAAATACCAGTCCTTGCAGTGCATTCTGTGGTTCTCATACACTTGCATTTATAGAGGTAGCACCTAGATTCAATGCTCTGTAATATCAGTATCATTATTGCTGAGATTTTAACAAAAAGAAAATGATCATCTGGGATGATAAGTTACTTGACCACGGTAATGGGAGAAATTTGAGCCTCAAGTGCAGCTAACTCTAAATCCTCCATTCTCCCGTCTACATCATGCTGTTTCTTAAGAAATCAAACAAGTCTTTATTACTTTATATTCATTTTATGTATCAGAAGAAGTAGGGTTCCCCAGTCAAGTTATTCTAAAATTAAAATTCATTCCCAAATGACCTAGATTTACTGCCATTGACAAGGTTTAAAATGGAAAGTCCCACTGACCCCAAAACAATTCCAGACAAAGTACTTTTGAACAATTGTACTATGGAGTTGTAATATATATTTGGGCTCCAAGAAGATTCAATTGAACTTATTTGGATACGAAACATATTATATATTTTTCCCCTTTCTGTTGCCAATCATACCTCATACTAAAAAGAAGATAGAAGAACCACTTGGGTCTGAGGTAGGAGAAACAAACAGCTAAGGCTTGATACAGGGTTAGTGGTCATAATCTGAGAACCAAAAAAAAAAAAAAAAATCATATGGCCTAAAAAATTTGTTTGCACCACTCGTGGTAGAAGGTATAGGATAGGAGAGACACTTTGATTTCTCAAGGTTCTGGGTTATTGCAATGGTTTTCAGGGACAACAAAGCCAAGTGTTTCTGATTGTCTTGTGGTGCAGTGGTTAAGACCTTGACTGCTAACCAAAAGGTCAGCAGTCTGAATCCACCAGCTGCTCTTTTGAAACCGTGTGGGGTAGTTCTCCTCCATCCTGTAGGGTCGCTATGAGTCAGAATCGAGTGGACAGCAACAGCTTTTTCTTGTTTTTAAGACAACCTCAATCAGCATAGCCATTAGTTTAAAAAATACAGTTTTTCCACCAGATATAAGTTATTTGTTTTTTATGCTAATGCAGGAAAGCAGAATATGGCAACAATTTTGTAACTTTCTCTCCTTCTCAATGGTCCTCCCTCCCAGGAAGGGATGTTAGCTAAGGAATCTGAAACACCCGGCTCTGTTAGAACAAGATATTAGCATGCACATTCCACTTAGTTGTTTCGCTGAGCCAAAACAGGTCATGTTCATTTGGTTGGTCCAGGCCATGTCTGTGTTTCAGAGACAGCAGGGAAAGGGTGTGACCTAGTTTAGTCAGATTGGGAGTGGAGGCTGGAGGATGGACTTGTGAAAGAGTTGAGAGGTGCAGCCTGGGTTTTCTGCCTCTGTCCCTCTTCTCTTTGAACAGGGAAGATTTTATAAATTCTCAGAAGTGTTTCTTTGTAGAATACCACCAGCTTTCACAACTTCCACTATTCCATCTAGAGTGCATGTCAGTAATAAGTATGAATTTTGCATAAATAGTGACGTTTCCATGTAATAACCTCATAAATTCCCCTGCCTCAGGCTTACTCTAGAGAGCCACTTTGCAGCAACCTCCATCATGGTGCTGCTGAGGGGCCAGGAACAAATCCTCCTTGAGAATTAAGTTTGTCTGAGACAGGTGAGTCAGAAAAGGGAGCAAAAGGGACCTGCTCTGGGACCTGCTCTAAAATCACGTGAGGGCTGCCGGGAAGGTAGCCCTCTGGGAAGCCCAAATACATTTGGTCAGTGAGAAACCAGCTTGGACCAGAGGTTAGACCTAATAGTTCTCTCTCACTCAACCACTCACTCAGCAATAACTTTTATTAAGCATCTATTGTACACTAGGCATTGTATCAGGCCCTTTAGATTGATTGTCTTAATCTCAGCCAGCTCCTGGAACAAGAGTCTGTTATAGGCATTTTGTAGGTGAAGAAATGGATATCAGAGAGGTTAACTCATTCAAGATAGTAATAATCCGACTCTGGAGTCCTAAGTATTAGTATGTCTTAATAGTTACCTTCCATGTCCAACATGATGCCAGATCCACAGAGCAAGTTTATCAAATGGCGATATAGAAAACAGAGAAGAAGAGGTTGTCGGGTGCTACAGCACCTGAATTCACGTCTGTCTGAAATCCATTCAACCCTTAGTATTCTACATATGGAGCACAAGCAAGCATGTTTTCTCTATAGACTAGGCATTGTGGAAACATCAAAGATGTACGAGCCAAAGACATTGTGCTCAAGGAAGGCATAACAACAAATAATAAAGAAGGAAGTATAGTTAAGTACTGAATTTTATGATGCATACTGGTGCTGTCCAGTACAATAGCCACTAGCCACATGTGCTCATCTGCATTAAAATTAAAATTAATTAAAATTGAATAAAGTTAAAAATGCATTTTCTCAGTTGCACTAGCCACATTTCAAGTGCTTAATAGTTACATGTGGCTAGTGATTACCATTTTGGAGAGCACAGATGTACAAGCTTGCCATCATCACAGAAAGTTCTGTTGGACAGCACTGGTCTTGACTAAGTGCTGGAGATGTTCAGAACAAAAAGATCACTGAGGGCTGGAGTAATCATGGAAGACTTCCTGTAGGAGGTGGTGTTTGAAGCTGTGTAGACTCATCACTGAGTAAGTACAAGGAAAATGGGCAGCATTTCTGAGAGATCAGCAAGGAACTGATACAAGGAGAACAGATATATGACAAGGTTGTTAGTGAGAAGAAGGATAAGAGCGGATGGAGAGTGAAGTTAGATTAAGGAGAAATATTTGAGGGATGGTTGTTGGGTTTTCCAAATAATTTCTGAAATTATTTGGATGCAATTGCCTTCTTTCTGTCTTGCTGTAATTAGGCTTATACCATAGCTAAATGATGATGGTGTTAATTATGAGTCTGTTGTTGCTACTTCTTTGTGTGGAGTACTCACTCTGTGCCTACTAAGAACCTCTGTCTGCCTATTTCTAACCCTAGAATGCGATATTGCCTCCCAAAATAGTACAGAAGCACCAGTCCTAGAGTCTCAACTGCCAGACAGAAGGAAGGAAGGACTGGGAGAGTGTAAAGCAGTGAGGCTATGATAGGGCTATGTACAGTCTGTGAGTTGGACAGCCCATGCAGCTGGGCCAGTAGAGGGCATGGCTTCATGGTTGGTTCCAAGAGTCTCAGAATGTCGATTATGAGGTCTAGGAGGCCCTCCCTACTGATGATTAAATAGATGCCTCATGGAATTGTACTAATGCTGGACTGAGGGTCAGGAGCCTTGATTATCATCTCTTTCTGACACTATCAGCTGTGTACAATCCTTAACAAGTCATTTCTTCTCTTTGTGCATCTCTTCCAATCTACCACCTGAAGGGATTGGACCCAAGTGTCCCTTCCTGCTCTGACATACAGAGAACTTCTGGTTTTCCAAAGCTTTTCTATCCACTCCTCCTTTAGATCATCTGTGGCCTCTCCCTGGATGGGGTTTAAAGGACATACAGGCAAAGGTGCTGGACATGGGCAAGATTTCCATAAAACTTTAGAGGTTCTAAACCCTTTGATAATCAAGAAAGACACAGAGGCAGCTTGTTTCATGAAGGGAACTGCTTGTGTATTTGCAGAAACTGTGGCAAACGTACTTTCCTTAGGCAAATCAAAACTTTCTGGTACATTCTTTCCAAACTTCACGATTCAGCAGAAAAACACCTTTCCCCAGGAATCTGGAGCAGCAGCTGGAGCTGCTTGTTTGTCTAAATCATGCAGACTCTGGAGCCGAGAGGGAGGTTGGGCAGCGTGAGAGATTTTAATATACATTTAGCAATGAAAAAGTGCAGAACTTGAGGGCAGCCAGTGATGCGTCCATTAACATTATTAATTATTAATGAGATATACTTCTCTTTGGGACAGAGCAGCATGCCTGATGCACCTTTTTTAATTACTGGATCACTAACAGAACAGAGAGCAGAGCTGAACGGAACTGCTAAAGATGATTACATATAGCAAAGAGCATTAAGATATTTCTCTCCTTCCCAAAGATGCTTAGGAGAGCACCCTTCCTTCAAGGATTACCAGTATTTCTTAGGGTTAGCAGCACGTTCGACAGATTCACCGCATGAAGCATTCAGGGAATTTTCTAGGAATAGTGCAGATCCATCACACATTTATCTGTAGAAACATTATGTTTCTACAGATAAATAATATTTGGAAATAGCATCTTCAGTGATGCACTGGGAAATATTTAACTACTGGCTTTCTTGGAACAAACAAATAAATAAACAAATGAGCCTGGATAGTAGCAATTGCTGATTGTTATAAATATTCTCACCATGGCTGATTTTAAGCTGCAGGCATGATGTCCCTGAACGCAGCACTGGGAAGAGATACGCAGTAGCCCTCTATTATGTAGGATTTCCATCATACAGAAAAAACCAACCAACCCGTTGCTGTCAAGTGGATTCCAACTCATGGCCACCCTGTGTGCGTCAGAGTAGAACTGTGCGTCATAGGGTCTTCAATGGCTGATTTTTTCAGAAGATCACCAGACCTTTCTTCCAAGTCTGCCAACCAAAAGATTGGTGGTTTGAGTTCACCCAGAGGCACCTTGGAAAAAAGGCCTAGTGATCTACTTCTGAATAATAATAATAATAATAATTAAAGACCCTATGGAGCACAGTACTACTCTGACACACATGGGATCACCATGAATCAGAGTCCACTTGTTGAAAACTGGTTACCATACAGGTATAAACGACCTTAAGAGCATAGCTAGTAGTAACATGCAGTAAATAATTAGAAGCCAATGAATTTTGAATATTATCTTTTTAATATTTATGTCATTGAAATTCTGCATACATTTTAATAACCATGTTTAACAATTGGCTTGTGGAATTAAATTGTAATTCTTATCTCGCTGGATTCCTAGATACACACATAGATAATTTGCCTCTGCTTTTCATTGGACTGTTATGAAATCTTGGCTCAAAGAATACAGGAACAGAAAAAGAAAGGAGGACTGGGTCCTAGGAGAGTGTTTTCTCTTGCTGTTTGATGTTTCATTAACATTCATTGGGTCAATATTCAAACGTCCAGGCTGTGCTGCTCAGTTGGGGTTTCAGGGATGCTTAGTTTGGAAGCATAAATTCTCCTGCCAAGTGAAGCCACCTCTCAATGACCCCTGTGGTTGGCTACAAGAGCAATAACCCTTTTCACCTCCTACTATTGCTGTTTTTCTACTCTGACATTTACACGTCTGAGAGTCTTATGAAACTCCAAGAAGTGGGGAAACACCATTAGCGCTTCAGAGGCGGGCCCTCTCCTTCTACCTGTTACTTCCTCATTTTGCAATGGGGCGCACAGGAGAAGGGAATAATACCTGATTTTGTTTCTTCATTTTGTTATGGTTAGGAATTCTACTGAAACGTGGAAAAGAGCTACAGTTTTGTTTTCTTTCCTTTTTCAGGAAAATCGGGGTTTGAATTATTTATAGCCAGAAGTCCGAACAGCTGTATGTGTATATGTGAACACACATGTATGTGTGTGTTTTAGAGAGGGTGGGTGCAGGAAAACTGAAAACAAAAAGTAGGAAATCAATTTTTGAAAACACGTATGAAATCTTAACACAGAAAACGTATGCTTACCTTTTCCATTTGGTTGGTGGTGTTGTTAGTTGCCACTGAGTTGACTCCAACTCATGGTGACTTGATGTGTAATCCAACAAAATGCTACCTGGCCCTACGCCATTTTCACGATTATTGGTATGTTTGAGTCCATTGTTGCGGCTATTGTATCAATTCATCTCATTGAAGGTTTCCCTTATTTTTGCTGACCCTCTATTTTACCAAACATGATGTCCTTTTCTAGCGATCGGTCTTTCCTGGTGACATGTCCAAAATAAGCGAGTCAAAGTCTTGCCATCCTCACTTCTAAAGGTATTCTGATTGTATATTTTTCTAAGACTGACTTGTTCATTCTTCTGGCAGTCCATGGCATATTTAATATTCTTTGCCAATACAATTCAAATGCATCAATTCTTCTTTTGTCTCCTTTTTTTTATTGTCCAGTTTTTGCATGCATATGAGGTGATTAAAAAGACCATGGCTTAGGCCAGGCTGACTTTAATCATCAAAGTGACATCTTTGCTTTTTAAAACTTTGAAGAGGTCTTTTGTAGCAGATTTGCCTCATGCAGTGTATCATTTGAGTTTTCCTCTTGGTTACTATCTGCTTATTTCACTATTACACTGTGATCCAAAATATGCTTAGAACATTGTAGGATCCCCCCACCCAATCCCGAGCCAGTGTACCACCACATGATTTATATTCATACCTTTTTTTAACCTGGAAATTTCAGGGTTTTTTAACCTATCACTCTCCTTTTTTTTTCTATAACCTGGACTCCAAATGACTTGAGATTTTTCTAAAGCTAAAATCACTCTCAGAGGATGAATATTTTCTCTCACTGGGAATATTTAAAAGAATGCGTTGTGACTTTTCAGGCAGATATACATATGCGTGTATGTTTGGAGTCTTTATGGGTGTTTTCACATTTGTGTCCTATGTGCTGTTGTGCGATATTTATTTTCCTGACAGTGACTATGGCTACGAGAGACATGGGGAGAGCCAGTGCGTCCCAGCTTTCTGGTACAATCCAGCATCCCCATCAAAGGACTGCAGCCTTGGGCAGAGCTACCTTAACAGCACTGGGTGAGTAAAACACTGAAGGAACTCAACTCCCTGCTTTCCTGTTTCCCAATTTGGGGTAAAAGGGAAGGCATTGCTATTGAAGCAAAATGGACTGTGAATAGAGCTTGTTTATGACAAGTGGCTTCCCTTCTGAGGGAAGCTGAAGGGTTCTTTACTGGGAGTACCTTCTCAGGGAGCATCAGAAGAGATTTCTGATCACCCAGATTTCATGACCTTTTGCCATTTACCTCAGAAGGATAATAGTTGCTGTTTTGGTCAGGCCTTCACTCCTGGAAAGGGATGGTTCCTTATTTCTCAGACCAGAACGAAGTAAAATGAAATATTGGCAAGGAGAGAAAATATACTCTAAAATAGCCTCACTCTGGAGGGCTTTTAGGTATTAGGGGATGGACTGATGTGCTGGGGATGGAGGCAGAGCAGGAGGAGGCTCCCTGACTAATCAGAGTGAGAAGAAACCTGGTGTCCTAGCTCTTGTCCGGTACAGAGAAAGGTGGATGGAGACGGCCTCAGGGAACTAGAAGCACATCCCTCCCTCACAAAGAAAAGCACCTGCTTCACTGCCTCCTCAGCCCAGTGGGTCTCCTCCTCCTCTGTTGTGCGTGAGTCAGCCATTGATTTTTCTTGGCTAGTTTAGACACCGATCCGATCCATGGCTTACCAGGTAGGATCAATAATAATGTTTAAGGAGCTACTCTTCCTGAGATGGAGCGATAGCCGTTCCCCAGCATTTGTTTAGTTTTGTAAATGGCTGTCTTCTTTGAGACTTGGTTTTTAGGGGCAGCTGTGTGAAGTGTCTGCCTTACTGTTGCTCTCTTGCACTCCATCTTTCTAACTCACACTCACACACAATGGCACAAACTAAGCCACACTGTTAGTTGTCAATACTCCCTAGGTACCGCAGGATCGTGTCCAACAACTGCACAGACGGGCTGAGGGAGAAGTACACTGCCAAGGCCCAGATGTGCCCCGGAAAAGCCCCTCGGGGCCTCCACGTGGTGACGACTGATGGGCGCCTGGTGGCAGAGCAGGGGCACAATGCCACATTCATCATCCTCATGGAGGAGGTAGGTGTCCGCCTGGGTCTCCCAGGTCAGAACTCACAAGCAGGCAGCCATTTCCTGTTCTCAGACGGGGAAGAAAGGAAAGAGTTTATATTCCCATCATCCCCCGCACTAAAGTCAATGGTGAAGAATTGATACTTCTAGGAGACAGGGGCTAAGGATATTTAGAGACCCTCCTGCCTTCATCCCATAATAAAGATAGAGTCTACAGTGGGGAGTCATTTGCCTATTTAAAAAAAAAACCCATTGCCATCAAGTCAATTCCAGCTCAGTGACCCCGTAGGACAGAATAGAACGACCCCATAGGGTTTCCAAGGAGCAGCTGGTGGTTTTGAACTGCCAAACTTTTGGTTAGCAACAGAGCTGTTAACCACTGCACCACCAGTGCTCCCATTTGCCTATGGTGAGATGCATATCTGGATATATTCTTCCGTGTCCCCTTTTGGGGTCTGCTTTGCCGAGGGAGTGTTTATCACCGTAAGGCCATATACTGGGAAGCTTTGATAGAAGAAGGAAACTCAAATTTTATGTGTTGCCATCAGGAGCCTCTTCTGCTTTAGTCTAACCCTTAACTCCACTGATTAGAGAAACTCATAAGGCTTTTAAAGGACCTTGAAAGTGTGAGTGAAGATAAGAGAAGATTATTGACATTCCTTTAAATTTATCTTTATAAAGAATGTTGTATTAGTCATCTTTCCATTAGCTAGCTGATCCATTAATTCACTTTTTAGTGTCTTCTACAATCTGGACAGGAAAACCAGACTGCACACATTCTTCCCAGTTTGCAAATAGCTCTTTGTCTGCTCTTGCTCCTGATATGAACCATTTCCTCTCTTCCACAACCAGGGAAGTTCCAAGCACTCTTCGATGAGCTGGTGGGGCAAGAAGGCTGGCTTGATTTTCAAAGCCCTCTAAATTAATATGGAAATTGCTCTGTGCTCTTTAGATGTTAGAAAGAGGCCAAAGCAGGCCAGGAACTTTCTCCCAAGTGTGAGTACTTGAGAAATCATTAAAGTCAGGCGCATACTGGACGGGACACTGAAGGTTCCTTGTCCAGGATTGACAGATTCCTTAACCGTCACCCATACTGAGCGCTGGAATTAAAGGACTTTAAGATTCAGAGAAGGTCATTATCACATTTCCACTAGGGAGTTTACAGGAGCAGAGCCAGATAAACCTCTTGAATGAATGTGAAGAGCCACGATCTTATCCATTTGAATTGCCTCCAGTTCATTTCCACTTTAATTTATATTCATAAACTCAAGGGTAGTTGACATTATGTGGGGGGCAAGGGAGCACCTATCAATATTTCATTCACATCAGGGTTGCCATGGGGCAAAGTGACGGGAAGAGAAACAGTGATCAGTGTGCATTTACCGGGCTCCTAATTCCAAAAGGATGTATTTCTTTATTCTATCAGCTGTCTTAGCATATAAACAAAGAGATACAATTCTATTTTTTTTTTTTTTTTTTCATTTTGAATCCTTGTTTTGGGGTTAGGTTCATTGCTTTTATCCAGCATGTTGGCCCAGTATGGGGCGGGGGGGACAAGAAAGAATAGGGTCAGCATTGGCCCCTAAGGAGCCAAGCATATGCTTGGAGTGGAAAGGTGCATGCATGTGAACCATTGAAGTCACGTTTGACCAAGCAGCACCCAGACTAGTGAGTCTCAGCAGTGAAGGCCCTTGGCCTTCCAAGAGGCAGAGATCGCCAAGAGCTGGGATGATCAGAAAAGGCTTCAAAGGGGTAAGGGCTCAGGTAGGTTTAGGGAAAGGCAAGGACAACAGAGCAGAGATGTAATTTTGGCTGATACGTAGTATTCATCTGTAAAATGGGAACAGGCATCCTACCTCACAGAATTATTTTGAAGAGGATATTATATAATATGGGTTAAGTGATCAGGATAGTGCTAAGAACATAATAGTAAATACTCAAAAAGAGGAACACTTATAGTTATAGCATTGTGGTTAGAGCATTAGTTTTGAAACCAGGCTGTCTGGGTTCGAAACTTGGTTCTGCCCCTACTATCTGTGAGACTTTGGTCTAACTACTTAATTTATTTATGTCCCCATTTTTTAAATGGTGGCAATAATACTTTCTACTACATAGAGTTGTAAGGGGATTAACTGCTTGGCATTGATAAGAGGCTATATAAGTGTTAGCTGTTAATATGATGAAGAGGATGATGATGATGATGATACAGAAAAATAATAAGGAAACCATATGTGTGAGGAAGTCAGGGCTACTCTCTCCGCTTCAGCACTTCATAGAGGCTGTCTCTTACCCACTATTGCCACTGTCACCCTCATTCAGGTTGACCCTGAGATTGAGCATACAGGGACAATAGATGTTTGTAGCCACAGTGCCCAAACCAAACCCGTTGCCGTCAAGTAGATTCTGACTCATAGTGACCCTATAGGACAGAGTAGAGCTGCCCCATAGGGTTTCCAAGGAGCAGCTGGTGGATTCAAACTGTCCATCTTTTGATTAGCTGCTGAGCTCTCAACCACTGCACTACGGGGCCGCCCCACAGTGCCCAATGGATATGTAATAGGAGTCTGCTGATTGTGTTGAGGGCGTTCAGCCACCTGGGTGAGACTGCAGGTCCCCAGAGGGCAATGTTGAAGCTACAGGAGGAAGCATCGAATGGGAGTCAGGCTGGACCGTCTGAATGGGCACTGCCAACTTCTCTTCCCTCTCACAGGGTGATCTCCAAAGGACAAACATCCAGCTTGACTTTGGGGATGGGATTGCCGTGTCCTATGCCAACTTCAGCCCCATCGAGGACGGCATCAAGCACGTGTACAAGAGTGCGGGGATCTTCCAGGTGACAGCCTATGCAGAGAACAACCTGGGCTCAGACACGGCTGTCCTCTTCCTGCATGTGGTTTGTAAGTAGCACACGCCAGCCTCTTTCTTCCTTTCCTTTCAGGTAATAACTCCTTCTGTCCAAATGTCCTGGAGTTCAGAGCTGAGCTGGTAGGTTCCGTGGCTACCACAGTGACCCAAATCCAAAGATTAAGATGTGTATTCAGCACACTCATCTATGTTTCAGAGTTCATAATCCTGAAGTCAATTGATTAATTTGGAAGTTTAGATAACATATTACCAACTGTTCGCTCCCTTTCAGCTCCACTCTGCTCTGATGTGAGTGTGCACATGCAGACAGATACTCATATGAAAGTCCCTTTCCTTTGCTTCAGAGACTTCTGAAAATAGAAGTGGAAACCCATCTGGTTGATAGCCTCAGGCTAATTTTCTAACCATTATGAATGAAGGCAGCACAAATCAAAGGAAACTGTTATCTCTATGGGAAGAGCCAAAGAAGGATTAAAGAAACACATGTTTAGATTTTTTTAATGTAGAACTAAACACACGAAAGAACTTGATTCTTACATTCAACGTTACTGAAAGTTCATTCTTACTGTAAACAATACTAAAATCTCTCCTAATTTTTCGTTTTGCCCTGGAATCTATGTCGTTACTATTGGCTGTTACTTGGCATAAACCAAAACAACAGCTGAAGTTCTGAAATATATTGGTTATACTGGGTACATTTTGTATGTTTGCTATCCTGGGACCCTGGGACTTAGTTCAAGTAAATGGAAGCAAATATAATGGTTTTAGGATGTTGGGTCAAGGAAATGTTGTTACGGGGCTGATAGTGGTTTCGTACACCTCTGTTGAGGGCATTGGTAGTTCAGTTATAGACTTCTTGCCTTCCATGTGGGATACCTAGGTTTGATTCCCTGCTGTGAACCTCTTGCACAGCCCCTACCTGTCTGTCAGTGGAGGCTTGCATGTTACTAGGGTGCTGAACAGGTTTCAGTGGTCCTTCCAGACTAACACAGACTAAGAAGAAAAGCCTGGCTGTCTGCTTCTCAAAATCAGCCAGTGAAAACCCTATGCATCACAGTGGTCCAATCTACAACCAATCCTGGGGATGGCGAAGGATCAGGCCGCATTTCATTCCATCATGCATGGGGTTGCCATGTGTTGGGGGCCGACTCGACAGCAACTAACAGCAACCACATACCTCCTTCAGTGATACTCGTGGGTCTAAGAACTTCTCTGGTTCTTACTTATATACCCCATAACGGTTTCTATGGAATATGTTATGTATGGTGAAAATAATAAGTTTTTTGAAAGGTCTAAGTGAATACAAGGAGCACCTTCCCTATAAACAACTCAATGATGTTATAACCTCCGCTGTATAAACAGCGCACATATAAAAGATCCCTGCAAACAGTAAGCATCTCCTAGCTCTCTGGTCACAACAGTGGTGCAGAAACGGTAATAGTGACGTACCTGGAGGAGTCCTAGGGTATAGGTCAGTTGTACCCCTAAAGATGACCATGATATAAGTTACTTTTCATCTGGGTCTTTCTGAACTCCAGGTATAAAATGGCTCAATTCTGGCTACAACTTTGCCTTACAGAGCTCTTGTGACAATAAATAGGAAACATAACTGAAACACCCAGAATTTATTTTCTCACTAATTTATTCAAAAACACTCATTGACTGAGCTCTTAATATGGGCAAAGAACTCTGCTAGGCACTCCAGAAAACCAAACCCACTGCCGTCAAGTGGATTCCGACTCACAGAGACCCTATAGGACAGAGTAGAACTGCCCCATAGGGTTTCTAGGGAGCAGCTGGTGGATTCGATCTGCCGACCTTTGGTTAGCAGCTGAGCTCTGAACCACTGTGTCACAGAGCTCCACTACAGTCTTTCCCTTGCAGAGTTTGCATTCTGGTGGGAGAAGGGGAGTGCTGCTTTAAGTAGGCCAGAAATAGGCAAAGTGGTGATAGTCATATCACACCCACTACAGTCATTCTTGCCAGCAGCCCCAGTCAGAAGTCTAGATGGACAATGGGCAAGGTGTTCATGAGCATAGGTTTTAGAGCAAGCTAGACCTGCCTTTGAATTCTGAACATATCACTTTGCTGAGTGTTTAATATTGGTCAACTTTCTTAGCCTTTGCAAATCTCTGATTCCTCACTTTACCATTTCAGCTTACAAGAATGTTGTGAGGATTGAATTGGTTCATATGTGTGTGTCGTTGGTCTCCAAGATCACCCCCAGCTTCGGTGATTCACTAGGAGGACTCAGTATGTAGTTGTACTCATGACTATGATTTATTGCAGCAAAAGGATACAGAGTGAAATCAGCAAAGGGAAAAGGCCCAGGGGGTGAAGTCTGGAGGAAACCAGCCACAAGCTTCTTAGAGCCCTCTCCCCATGGAGCCACACAGGACATGCAAAATTCCTCCAGCAACAGATTTAAAAACACATGTGAAATGTTGTCTACCAGGGTAGCACATTTGCGACTCAGCAGTGCCCATGTTTTTGTTGTTGCTTTGGTTTTATTTTTATCAGAGGCTGGTCACATAAGCATCCTCTGCTTAGCATGTACAAAATTTAGACTCCCAGAAGGAAAGCAGGTGTTCAGTATAAACCATATTGTTTGCACAAACCATCTAGCCCCAGTGAACCACCCTTATCAGTTAGCTCATTAGTTAACTGTTGACTGGGAACACTCGGAGAGCCAAGTTCTCAGCCACCAGCCAGAGGCCAGCCCTGCCAGCAGGCCTTTTGAAGGATGGCCCTTGCAGGTCTGCTGTGTTAACTCTTTCCTGCACAGTGTGCACAATGCTGTTTACCACCCAGCTTGGCACTTGTGAATGTTACCTGTTATTATAATAATTACTAAGCACTGCCTATTAACTTTCTGCCTGACGCTTCTGCTGCATTTAATCATGAAGACAATGAAAGAAAAGGAACTTTACTTTTTCCTTTTCCAAGAACCTGCCCCACCCACGTCCCTGCCACGGCCAAGAGTGTTGCCTGCAGAGCAAAGAGACCAAATGTGTCTTAGTGGCAAAAAAACACCACAGAAAGGAACAGGTTTTTGCTGTGGGTTATGTGCATGAAGGAGGAAATGTTCCTTGAAACTTTTATCATGCTCATAATTCCCTCCAAATCAATCATGGCTGCATTTACCAGACAGTTATTATAGTGGAAACTGCTCTTGTCCTTACCTTGGGTCATTAGCTAACAAAAGTAGTTGTTAGCTGTCCATAATAGCCAATGTCGCACAGATTATTAGATTTGTATCAGAAGGGGCACTATTTGACAGTGAAGATTTTAGGAGTTTGCTGTCTTCTGTCTGAATCCTTTCGTTGTCTTCTCACAGATCCATGGTTTGTCTTCAGGGTGAAGCCGAGAGCTTCTGGCTGTGGTTCTTTGCCCTAAAAAGCTGCCACACATCATTCTTCCTTAAGATTATTTTTACTCAAACATGCTTGTCCAGACTCTGGAATAAATGTGACCCTGTCTGATGGTGGTGCATTTCACCAAAGCTGTGTCCAGTTTGTGACTGGCGTAAGTTTAGGGAGAAGGAGGCCTTCATTTCTGTTTTGGTGCATCAAAGTACCTGACAGTGGTAACCCTGGCTCAGCCAAGGCCCCAGGGTGACTGAGGGCAGTGGAGAATTCCCAGGGCCACAAGCCATGGCTGCACTGCCGAACTGTGGGAAGCCCAGGATTTCTGTGAACTGACATGGCAAATGGGCTTCATACCTTTTGGGGGAGAGACTTAGGGGGAGAATGAGAGATCTGAATCTGGGCATTGGAGAATGGCTCTGAGGTGTTAATGGAAGAAACAAAGCTTCTCATCATCCTCCTAGGACATAATCTAGCCCAGAGCCCCTTCCTGCTACCTCTTTCTCTTCCCATTTGATGAGTGAAACACAAACAATAAAAAGAGATCAAGTTAACCTCTAAAAAAAATAAGTAAATAGAGCAATGAAAGTACTCTGTTTTCTCTCACCTTGTATTCTTTAACTCTTACAAGTAAGCAAGCAAACCATACAAAAATAAACAGACTTCCTTATTTAAAATCATCAGACTTTCAGCCAAATGCACATCTTCAGTGACAGGATTGAAATTATTTGCGGGAAACCTTGAGGTGTCATATGTTTGCGACCAGGTCAGCGAGCTGTAGAGAGAGACCATTTCCAGGTTATAGATACATAGAGAACTTGTTGACTGTTTAGGAAAGTACAATCTTACAGTAACAAGTAGGCCAGACTGATTTCCCCGCCCAAATAGCAGACCCTATCCGAACATCTCCCCCATTATAAAATTGCCTGTGACATGGAATATGCCAAGTGAGACTCAGAAAAATGCGCATTGTCCTCAAAGGGACTTTCACCTGATGGTAGACAGAAACAGGGCTGGTGGTGGTGGCAGTGGTAGTGATAGAAATACTGCCGACCTTTAATTAATTTTATCATGCTTTTAACATGCAGACAGCACTTTCATACGTTCTTATTACTATAAGAAAGGCAGAACAACTGTTGTCCCTTATTTTTAAGACAGGAGAATAGTCCGTATAAAATTGAAGCTCTGGAAGGTAGAGGAAAAGATGAGGCAGCTAATTTTGTGCCAGGGCTGGAATGAGAAGTGTCCATCTGTGTTCTCATCTTTAAACTGAGCTATCTCCAAAATGACCAAAGATGCAAAGAGTAGATATTGGTGTTCTGAAAAGCGCCCCACCTAAGAGAAGAACCTAGGGCGAAAGAGATGTCTTTGTCCTACTTGTAGCTTAAGAGCTTCCTGGAGAAGTCTCTTCAAGGCACTTTCATTCATCAAGACTGAGATGGTGAACACCAAGGAAGTGTGTTCTAACAGTGTGGACAGATAATTAAAAATATTTTAATTAGATTTGGTTAAGAAGGAAGGCCACAAGGAGTGGGGAAAGGAAGGGAGGGAAAGATCTAGGAGAAGAAGGAAGGGAAAAAAGAAAGGAGAGAGTAAGAATCCCATAGAGCTAAAAAAATAATGTATCTACCCTACAATATAACACTGACACATTAACATTTTCCCATCAGCGTTCTCCTTTTCTCATTTTATTTTGGAAATGAATGAAAATCCTCACTTATTATGCATGAGGTATGTTCCTGTATGTTTTCTTGCTTGCTAGTTTAGAACTTGATGCTGCTCATACCAGTGTTACGAGGAAAAAAGAGAAAACTGGTTACCCTTTTCAAGCAGCTTTCTTATTATTTGGAAATCTGGTATTTGTTTCCTCTCCAATTTAGGGAGATGTGCTTTTACCTTTTGTGAAACAGCCTTTCCAGCTTCTGAGTGGCATCCACTGTGTACTGCAGATGACAGGGCACAATGGCCATTTATTGAAGAGGATGGAAACCAATTAACAGTTGAGGATAAGGGAAGAGCCCTCCATACAGTATGTTGACCCCAAATCACAATGTAGGCTAATAATAGAAAGGGCGTAGACTACTATTTATCTTCCTATTTTACTGATTAAGTGTCTAGTAAACTAGCTTTGTCCTTGGACTGGAGCTTCGTAAGCATCCCTGGTAGGGCTCATCAGATGCAAATTGAGTTCAGATGTCACTCAAAAAACGTGAAGCCTGATTTGAGTTCTCTGTTATACCCACTGCTTATTTCAAGTACACACGCACACACACACACCCCTCCCAACATTTGTGAGTTTGTGATCCGTGCTTTATTACAGGTGATTGTAACAGGGATTAAGAATCCGAGAGCGTGGTAAAGTTCGAGGGCTTATTCCAGAAATATAAACACTGACATGGTTTTTCCTGTCCCTCTAGGTCCTGTGGAGCATGTTCATCTCCGAGTTCCGTTTGTCGCCATAAGAAATAAAGAGGTCAACATCAGTGCAGTCGTGTGGCCCAGTCAACGGGGGACCCTTACCTATTTCTGGTGGTTTGGCAACAGCACAAAGGTTCGGCTCTTTCTGATTGGTTGATGCTTGGGACACGGAGTGCTGGCCATAGGGAGTACTTAATGAAGCTATGTACCCACATTCTTGATTAAGACATGCCCTCCACCCACCAAGTGCATTATTTTAATAGGGAAAGTTCAAATATTCATCAGGGAGAAAGATTACTTTGAGAAACTACACACATCTGGGTGTCTTTTGTCCTCTCGTCAATAGTTCTATAATTTCTTTTGCTCCATTTTGTTTCAATCCTGCATTTTCTACTTACTAGCTATATTTGACTAGCAGGTAAATAGATGTCTTCGGGTATCATGGTGAATGCTCTGATGTTATAATACTTGTTTTTCTTTGACTGGATAACTGACCTGTGAAAGAGAATCATAGTAATTTTGATCATGTATTCTTAGTACTGGCTTTGTACTAGATTCTTCGTATATATTATTTTTTAATCCTCAGAACATCACTGATAAAAGAGATATTATCCCATTTTACAAAGAAAACACTTAGGCCGATAACCTTGGAAGGTGGTGTTTGGGGTATGTGTGTGTGTGTGTGTGTGTGTGTGTGTGTGTGTGTGTGTGTGTGTGTGTTTTGTAACGAGGTAAATTGAACAGGTTCACCCACATAGTTGAATTAAATCAACCTACCAATAGGAATTAATTGGCCCTACTTTATAGGCAGCCCTTTGCTTGGTGCTGCCATGGGTAGGAGAGCACATATAACATTGCCCCTGTCTTCAGGGAGATTATATTATAGATGAGGAAGCAAGATGAACACACGTGCAATAATTGGTGAGCAAGTGTGATAGGGATATAAATAGAAGAGAGTGAGCATTCTGGAAAATCAGCTATTGGGTGTTACGCCTACAAACCAATTAGCAGGAAATGTTAACTTGCATCAGGCCCGTGGATCTTTCTGAGGAGACTGTATTTTGTGCTAGATGTTCTGAGCAATACTCAGCAGTGTTAATTCCAGTTGTTGTCTAAAGAAACATACAGCCTACTTGGGAATATGAGGTTAACATCTATCTAATAAGGTAAGGCAATAGAGGTTTGATATTACTGGCCCAGTCAAGCAGCCTAGTGGGAATGAGTGATGTACAAAGCTGGTCCTGAGCTGCCATAAAAGGAGAAGTAGAATTGAGGCAGAGAGAAGTCAAGGGGGGTTTTGTGCAAAGGTAAGCCTTTGAGAAGGGTTGTAATGTGTCTTGACCAATTCAGGGAGAATAGAGGATTCATTTGAGCAGATGTTGGAGAAAAAAACTGAAAGATGGGAAGGACAGATGGCAAGTGGCTATGAATGCCAGGATATTAAATAAATGGATGCTTTTTATCATGTCATAGAAACTCAGATTTAAGGATATCAGATAATAGAAGATAGAACCAGATTCATGGACAGTGATTCTTTACACAGTGAGATACCTTTGAAGATATTTGGATGTGTTTGAGTGTGTGTGTGTACTCATATATTTGAGAATTTTTTTTTTAACCTAACTCTGAATTTTCACGTTAATCCAATAGTCATAACACAGCTATAGATACTATTTTGCTTTATTTCTTTCTCATTTTTGTATGTATTTTATGTTCTTTTTACATAGTTCTAATCATAGTCTATCTACAATTATATATTCTGCTTTTTCCGCTTCATATGATAAGCAGTTTTCACAGGTTACTATGTAATCTGCCGAAGGTTTGAAGTAAGGCAAGCATAGTGATTGCATTGTCTGTCCAATTTGGAAATAGCAGCTTTTATCAAGGTATACATTTTACATTATGGAGATTTCACCATATCCAGTATTAACCTGACTTACTGCCTCAGGGAAACTGCATCCCAAGATTTCCCTGCAGCTCCCTATTCCATTAGTCAAGTGGAAGTCTCATAACTAAATAGTCACTTGGAGCTTTGTTGATTTCTTGCTGGGCTCAGTGGATAATATGTGACCTGTCGCACATGAGGGATTCTCAGTGGGGAGGGAGGCAGCCCACAACCTCTGCAGAGGATGGAGTAGTATTCTAGTGGGTCTCGCTGTGGGCTGGCCCTGCAGGTTGGACAAAACACAGAGGCAGAGAAGTCAATTGGCTGCCTGTTAGATTTGTGGGGCTCTGAAAGGCCAGTTTTCTGGGATTAACAGAGGCCTGGCTTAATAAATGTGTCTGCTTTCATAATAGATTTGAGTAAATGAAGCTTAAAATATTGGATTTAATTTAGCATTGGGCACCAGACGTTGGTGGCCAACGAACAACTCAAGAATCCTGTTGAGGTTTCCAGCTTTGCAAGGAAGGTGAAATCAGCCATGATGCATAACAGCTGATGAAAAACAAAAGCAATTTGGAAAACAAAATTAGCTCCTGCCATTTCCCTAGCATAGAAATCTGTGGCTTGCAACCTGGGGACCAAGTGTTCCCATTCAGCAAGCTTGTTTGCTGTGGCTCGGTGCCCTGACTGGCCGGTGGGTGGCATGCTCCCTCCCACTGCAGATGGCATTCCCCTTCCCCAGCAGCCCTAGACCTTTGCTGGGCCCCTGGACCTCCTAGGGAAGCAGCCATATGGGGAAATGATCCAACCTGCTGGGGCAGGAGGAATTCCCCTCCTCTCAGAAGGAGATGCCATTGCTGGGCACAGCATCAACCACCCAGTTCTTAGGAAAAGACTGTGGGGGAAAGGAGAGGAGGCCAGGCAGAGTACTGAGAGATGGAGATGACATGGAAGCAGTGAAGGTTCCCCTAAGAGAACATCATAAAGTAGGGGTGGAGGGACTGCCTGGTGGTGAGGCGTGGGAAGAGATCAGAGATAGCTAAGAGCAATGAATCAAATGGAAGGGCAATGTAATATATTGGTAGTCACAGTCAGAGAGAGTAATTCATGAAGTCAGAAGAAATAAAAGCACGTTGATTGTTCATTTTCTCGTTTTGTTTTTCTCCAAATGTTTTATTATGAAAAATTTCAAATGTACACTAAAGTTTAAAGAGTTTACAGTGAAAGTCCACATACCTGCCACCTAGCATCTACCATTAAAATTTACTCTGCTTGTTTCATCACGCATCTATCTACCCTTCTATCCACCCATCAATCTAACTTAATTTTTTTATTCATTTCAGAGTAAATTTCAGACAGATATAAATATTGTACTAAATGCTTCATCTTGCAAATCATAAACTACAGTTCAATATTTGTTTACAGTTTTTTTTAAAGGGGTGTAAAATGTATCAACAATGAAATGCAAAAATGTGAAGTGTGTATTTATTGGATTTTGACAGATTTGTTGCATATACGGGCATAACCCAAACACTAGAGTATAGGCTATAACTCCAGAAAGTTCTCTCATGCTCCTTCTCAGTAGATCCTTACCCCTCATCCCCAGAAGGAACCAATGCTTTACTTTTTTCCACCATAGATTAGATTTGCTGTTCTAGAACTTCATAAAAATATAATCATACAGTATGGATTCTTTCGTTTAAGGCTTCTTTCTTTTCTCATAGTTTTGAAATCCATCCATACTATTGTGTAGCTGTATATATTCTTGTATATTATTGTCTAGTATTTCACTGTATGAATGTACTATAGCTTGTTTATTCAGTTTTCCTACTGATGAATTCCTGGGCTGTTTCCAGTTTTCAGCTGTTATGAATAAGTTGCTTTGCACATTTGTGTATGTGTATGTATGTGTGTGTACACATTTTCTTTTTTCTTGACCAAATTCCTAGGATTTGAAATGCTGAGTCGTAAGTTAGTTTAAGTTTAGTTTTACAAGAAATTGTAAGAACTTTTTCTGAAATGATAGCATTTTATATTCCCACCAAAAATCTATGGGAGTCCCAGTTGCTCTGCGTCCTCAGCAATATTTAGTTTTACCTTTTTTTTTTTTAATTTTAGCCATCCTGCTGAGTGTATAGAAGTATCTCATTTTCCTTCCAAAGACTGTGACTAAGGTGATGAAGCAATTGAAAATCTCCTGATAGATATGACCCAATGGGTTTATCAGTAGGAACCAGAAAGTTTGCCTAAAGCCATTCACTAACCCCATAGATTCAGATCACTGAATGAGTCTTCACAGACCTTCTAACCTAAACCCTTCATTTAGCAGATAAAGAAATTGAGGCCCACCCAGAATAGGGGCAAACTTTGACCAAAGTCACACATTAAAATAGTAACAAAGCCAGTTTCAAGTCACAGTTCTTGTTATCCTAGAGATGGCAACTCTTTGGCACTTACAATGTTATCCCCTTATTCCATGGCAGATATTGCGATGCCGAACCCAACTTGAATTCAGGTTCCTTCTCAACACAGGACTCTATAAACATCCACTCTTGACCCACTGGAGTTTATGTACCTGAGAGAACCTTGTTTCCCCTCATCTGTCGTTTAATTCAGAAGGCTGAACCTTTTTGTGTTTTACCACAGAGCCATAAGTATGGGGAAGAAGACATGAATTCTGGGGGTTGCTCTTAGTTAAGAGAAGGAGTGTATCTGTGTCTCTACTCTCTTTCTTATTTTGTTTAGCAAACAGAGAAAAAAGGGTATCAGATGCTTAGGACAATATCTCTAATTTTACTCAACTTCAGCCACTAGCCTGGTCATAAAATGTTATTGTTTTTAGATGCCGTAAGATGTTTCTGACTCATAGCGAGCCCATGTACGACAGAACAAAACATTGACCAGTCCTGTGCCATCCTCACAATTGTTACTATGTTTGATCCCATTGTTGTAGCCACTGTGTCAATCCATTTCATTAAGGGTCTTCCTCTTCTTTTTCACAGACCCTCTACTAAGCATGATGCCCTTCTCCAGGGATTGATCCCTCCTGACAACACGTCCAAAGTCCATGAGACAAAGTCTAGTCATCCTCACTCCTAAGGAGCATTCTGGCTGTACTTCTTCCAAAACAGATTTGTTCGTTCTTCTGGCAGTCCATGGTATATTCAATATTGTTTGCCAACACCATAATTCAAAGGCATCCATTCTTCTTCAGTCTTCTTTATTCACTGTCTAGCTTTCATATGCATATGAGGCAAATGAAAATACCATGGCTTGGGTCAGACACTTCTTAGTCCTCAAAGTGACATCTTTGCTTTTTAACACTTTAAAGAGGTCTTGTGCAGCAGAGTTTCCTATAAAACAGAGCCATAGAATTTTAAAGCAGAAGACATCAAATTATTGTGTCAGAGGCACAGTTGAAAATCCTGAGTTAGAAAGGATTCCAGTCTTGCAGCTATGGGACACTCGAAGCAGTCTCTCTGAATGTCTGCGGGGCTCTGTGCACGGGCACCCAGGGTCATGTCCAGTTGAGAGTACAAGAGCAGGCTGTTTGGGTGCTACCCCGCACCCACTCTCTGCAAGGCAGCTCTGTGCATCCTCTAGGTGGCCATGCCATTCTCTCTCTCTTCCTTTTGTTATGCCAACACCCAAGGAAGAGGGAGTCTGCGTATCTGCACTTGTGGCATCTCTTTATGAGCTTCCTTAGATGAGCCTTCTACTGTTATGTCTTAATTTCCAAACAACAGAGAACTTGAGAGAACAGAGGACATAGGATGACCACTGGCACTGCCCCATCAATATCAAGATCTGCACTCTCTTCTCTCCAATAAGTTCCTGCTTTTATGAATATCTTGATTCCCAGGAAAAGAATGATTATGCTATTTTTCTCTATCCTTGGGGAGCCCTTTATCTGTTACAATGATCAGAAAGAAAAGATTTAAAATGATCACAGATGTTCATATTTTTGTATTTTCCTATTTTTTTTAAAGTTAAAATGATGTGATGGAAAATACACATACAATAAAACAAAAATCCAGTAATATCGTCATGCATCCAACTTACATATATTTTCTGCTATATCCAAGGCACTGCGCTGAGGGTGGGTGATATAGAAGTAAATAAAATGTGATCACTTCTCTGAAAGGTCTCGCAGTCCAGTGGAATACAGGATGAAATGATAAGTGATGTGTAGTATTAGGGGAGAAGAGAAATGGTCTCCTGTTCCCAAGGCCAACAGGGACAGATGACACAAACTGATTCTACTTTGGGCCAGGAGAAGGAACTTGCAAGATCCAGGGTATCCAGTCTTGTCCTCATCTCTTAGGATTTACATTTTATGTTTCTCAAGTATATTAATACTCTCCCTGAATACTGAGTATACTCGCAGTTTTAGGAAGCTGTGTAAAGTAATTTTATTTGGTTTTTTCTTTTTTCAGGTTAGGATCTCTTGGGGGTAGGCAAATGCTATGCAGATTTGGGACAGCGTGTGGTTTATAGGAAAGGAAGGAAAGCTGGTATTCCACAGAGGGCTTGTTGTTAGTTGCCATCATGTTGGCTCTGACTCATGGCGACCCCATGTACACCTGAATGAAGCATTATCCAGTCCTGGGCCATCTTCATGGTCATTGGTATGTTTGAATCCATTGTTGCAGCCATTGTGTGTTTTGAGTATCTTCCAACCCAGGGGGTTCATCTTCTAGCATTATATTGGACAGTGTTCTGTTATGATCCATAGGGTTTCCAGTGACTAATTTTTGGAGGTAGATCTCCAGGCCTTTATTCATAGTCTGTCTCAGGCTAGAAGCTCCACTGAAACCTGTCCACCACGGGTGACTCTGCTGGTATTTGAAATACCAGTGACATAGCTTCCAGTATCATAGCAACATGAAAGCCACCACAGTATGACAAACTGACAGACAGGTGGTGGCACAGAAGCCTAAATGGGTGTTTTTGCTTCTGTTACTTATAGCCCCTCATCACCTTGGAAAGCAGCATTTCCTTCACATTCCCTGCAGAGGGATCCAACACTATCACTGTCCAGGTGGCTGCTGGGAATGCCCTTATCCAGGATACAAAAGATATCGCAGTTCATGGTAAGCCCTGAAAATTGTCCTGAGATGCCCCCTCCTGCCTGACCGATCCCTTCCCCGTCCCTAGCATCAATCACTGACTGCTTTGGAAATTCCACAGGCCATGGAGAAATCATATAAGCCACAGGCGACCACCACGGCTGCCTCCTGGGGAGGGATACTGTGCTTGTGGGGAGAGACTGAGGTTCTAAGAGAAGCAGATTATGGACAGGTCTTGTCTCCTCTAGTGTGCCTGTGCCACAGCCTGTTTGGGATTCTCGTTAGCCAGAGACATGTATCATAGGTTTAAGGAATGCTAAGCTGGAAAGACTGTCATAGAAGGAGCTAGATCTTATGTCCTGTGAAAGTATCAACAACGTGTATGCATCACCTCTTTTGGTGAGGATGGGGGCCAGTCATTGCAAAAGCTTGAGGAGTCATGGTCCCTGACCTTGCAGAACACACAGCCCAGGTAGTAGGTTGAACTACACATAACTGATGTGTTTTCTTGATTGTTGGACATTCCAACACCACTGGCTGCAAAGGCTTGAGAATAAGGCTAAGAACATAAGGGTGGATGGAGCAAGTCACAAGTCGAGAGAGCAGTGAATAAGTTCACCACCCTGTTCTCAATTGTGGAGAACCATTCTTAATTATTAAAATTATTTTAAATGAAATTGATTATACTTCTGCTTCATCCCACAAAAACTCCCCCAGGCCCTTAGGAACAGGCACTATAGCTGGGTTTTCTAGAAGGTTATACTAAGGTGTATAAGGCTTGAACTCAGATCACATTTCTTTAGCCTCACCCAGGTGAGGGCCTTTTTTCTACATCTCTGCAAATGTGCTGCTCAGGCTTTCTGATCAGGCACCTGGAAAAATTTTTTAAGTAAACGTTTTTATTGAAGTGTATCATTTATACAGAAACGAGCAGATCATAAGTGTTTAGCTTGATAAGTCATCCCAAAGTAAACACACCTCTGTGTACCCATCACATGGACAAGAAATAGAACATTATTCACACCCTGGACCCAGGGGCTATTTCAACTTACTTTGTAATCCTCTCAGGCAGCTCCTAGTAGGATGGACAAATGAATTGAGGAAGGAAGAAAAAGTCTCCCTTCCAGCCAAGCCCAACTTGTAAGGATTTTGTCGGCTCTGCAACATACCACCTACAGTAGCAAAAGCCTCCTTATCTTTTATTTCAGATAATACTGTTTATAGAGAAGAAGGGCTTAAAATATCAGGAACTAGCAAGACCAGTAGAAGAACAAATCTATTTCCAATCACCAAATCCCATTGTCTTTCAGAAGCTGAGAAACAGGCTTAAAATAAGGAATTATAGCTGAGAACGCATGAAAGAGAGACCCTTTTTCTTCTGCACAGGATTATGGAGTCCCCTAGCCTGTCAACTTCTCACTCATCTCCCCTTCCTAGCCTTAGTCACACATTCTCTTTCCTTGCAGAATACTTCCAGTCCCAGCTCTTATCCTTCTCTCCTAATCTGGACTACCACAATCCTGACATTCCTGAGTGGAGACAAGACATTGGCAATGTCATCAGGAGAGCACTAGTTAAAGTAAGTTGGCTTTATCTTTGCCTATGTGTGTCACTGTGATTAAAGAAAAGAACTGTATGGTGCCGTCCCAAACATTTGCAAGTATTAAAAACACTGTTTTGCAATTAGAGATTGTATCTCTGTAAAAAGAGAGATAAAGAAGGAAGAGAGGGAACAAAGGAGGGAAGGGAGGAGAGAGAGGAAGAGAGAAAAAGAATAATGGGAGCAGTCCAATGTTTGAAAGATAGAAATTGGCCCTGTGTTTGTCCTGAATTGTTCTAAGACAGGAGCTTGGACTGTGAATGAATCAATGACTAGACTGCTCATTAAATGTGTACTCATATCGTGCACTTGGCTGGCACAGTGCCCACCAAGGAGGTCTTCACAAGACATCTAGACTCACAAGATTACCATTGGCCATATGTGGCACTCAGCAGGCTACCAGCCAGGAAACATGCCACCAGGGTAAAAGAGTTACAGAGTCAACCCAAAGTCAGATTTCCTTTAGAGAAGGTGAAAGAGTTTTGTTAACTGTTTGTTCAGAGTTAGGCACTAGAATATAATGAGGAATAAAACATGGTCCAATGTGCAACTAGTTTTATGATGGAGGCATGGCCAGTGCCACAAGGGAGCATGGAGAAAGGTATAATTCACTCTATACGGAAAAGTGCAGGCATGGCACAGAGTTTCAATTCAACAAGTACTTGTTGAGCTACCTAGACGGTCTTCCAAAGGGATATTTGAACTGGCTTTTAAAGGATAAATGGTAGTTCACAGGGAGAGGGTGGTGTCTTTCAGGTAGAATGAACAGCATGTACAAAGTCGTGGAATTTTTTTTTTTCATTGTTCTACATTTTTCTCCAGTTCTGTCCTGGACCCTCTATTGTGATCCTTGTCAGACCAGTCAGTGGTGGTAGCCAGGCACCATCAGTTGTACTAAACTTAATCTGGTGGAGGCCATGATAGTTGTGGTCCATTAGTCCTTTGGAGTAATCTTTCCCATGTATCTTTAGTTTTCTTCATTCTCCCTTGCTCCCGAAGGGGTGAGACCAGTGGAGTATCTTAGATGGCCGTTCACAGGCTTTTAACACCCTAGATGCTACTCACCAAAGTAGAATGTAGAACATTTTCTATAATAAACTATGTTATGCCAGTTGAGCTAGATGTTCCCTGAGACCGTGGTTCCCACAACCCTCAGCCCAGCAATTTGGTCCCTCAGGGAGTTTGGATGTGTCTATGGAGCTTCCATGACTTTGCCTTGTACAAGTTGTACTGGCTTTTCCAGTATTGTGTACTGTCTTACCCTTCACCTAAGTTACCACTTATCTATTGTCTATTTAGTGTTTTTCCATCCCCACCCCTCCCCTCCCTCGTAACCATCAAAGATTGTTTCTTTTTATGTGTAAACCTTTTCATGAGTTTTTACAGTAGCGGTCTCATACAGTATTTGTTCTTTTGTGACTGACTTATTTCACTCAGCATAATGCCCTCCAGATTCATCCATGCTATGAGATGCTTCGCAGATTCATCATTGTTCTTTATCGTTGTATAATACTCTATTGTGTGTATGTGCCATAGTTTGTTTATCCATTCATCTGTAGATGGGCATCTAGGTTGTTTCCATCTTTTTGCAATTGTGAACAATGCTGCAGTGAACAAGGGTGTGCATATGTCTATTTCTGTGAAGACTCTTATTTCTCTAGGATATATTTCCTAGGAGTGGGATTGCTGTATCATATGGCATTTCTATTTTTAGCTTTCTAAGGAAGCACCATATCATTTTCCAAAATGGTTGTATCATTTTGCATTCCCACCAGCAGTGCATAAGAGTTCCAATTTCCCCGCAGCCCCTCCAACATTTGTTATTTCCTGTTTTTTTGATTCATGGGCATGATACTTCTCACCTCCTTGTCCAATGGGCAGGGCCAGTCACTCAGCTATGGTGCAGCAGAGCAGGTCCAGTTGAAGAGGAAGGACTGAGATGGGTTGTTTGTGGCACATACTAGGGCTGACAGGACAGACCGGGAGTCAGTGCAGGGCAGCTTCCAGTAGGCTATGCCTGTGCTGCTCAGGAGTGTGATGTTCAGGGCACGGTGCAGATAGGCAGGAAGGAGGGTGAGGTTGTGATGTGTGGAGCTACAATGGGTATGGGAAAAAAGAGAGAGAGGAGAGAGAAACAGGAGCCAAAAAAAAAAAAAAAAAAAACTAACAACAAAAAAAGAAAAGAGTGCTAAGGGAGTGGGTGCTCTGTCTCCAGCTGGGAGCTCCATGAAGCTGCCGTCCCGTACTGCTTGTTTGCCGATCTCCGATAGTAGTCCAAGATGGGGAATCCGTGTTGTGTTGGCTGATAGGGGACCTCCGAACGTATCTCTTCTCACTCTCTGTTCTCTGTCAGTTTCTTATTCCATTTGGTGCTTGACTGAGTTCTTTATCTCTTCATTTTATGCTTAGGGTTCGAGGATTGATGTTTGTCTCTATTTTACTTGGTTTTTCGGGTCTTTGCTGTGGAGGGATGGCGTGGTGCTTATGTCTACAGTGCCATGTTGGCTCTGCCTCTTGTGGACTTTTGAAACAGTAGCATATTTGGGAAATGGCAAAGAGTTTGGGGTTGCCAATCTATAGTACAAAGTGTGGCTAAAGTTGAGCTAAGAGAAATAGTTAAGATTTTGAAGGATCTAAGAAGCTAAAAGTGGCATATTTCCTGTAGGTGCTAGCAAGTGTGAAAATGTTTTGGTTTTTCTCTTAAGTAAGAAAACGCTGCCAATGCATTTATACTTCAGTCATTCAGTCTGCTGGCAATGCAGACAATGGACTGCTTGGGTGGGAAGGGTATAGGGTAGGGGTGAGACTTCACAAAAGACAACCAATTAAAAGACCACTGCAGTTATCTAGGCCAAAGATTATAAGATCCTGAAGAGGAGAGATTCCGAGGCTGCTTAGGACATTAAACAACATAACTGATGACTAATAAAACACAGTGTGAATGGGAGGGAGAGAGGTGCTTTCAGATTAGAAGAATAGGTGGAAGATGGCTTTGCCATTGGTCAGGATATTGACTTTGTAGGAGAAATGGGCTTAGGGAAAGATAATGGTTTGATCTTAATATGATGAATTTGGAGCACTCGAGAAACAATTTGGTGAAAATGAACAGGAAAGTTGAAAATAGAGGTCTGAAGATCAAGCAGAAGTTCATGCTGGAGGTCGTTAGGATCCCCCAGGGAGAGGAGGGGCAGGGAGGATTTGAGTGCCATTTCTCCCCAAGGCAATGGAGAAAGACCCAGGGCAAGACAGGGAGAAGGAGCTGCCAGAAAGAAGGCAGGCAGAATAAATAAAAGAGAATTATCTAAGAGAATTCCTGTCGGGAGTTGTCTATGAGATGAACTTGACCTCAAATCTTTTTAACAATGAGATCATTCATAGAAAGAGAAAAAAATGGGTCTTACCTTGTATGCCTTTGAATGTGACACATCCAGAATTTTGTTGTATTTATTAAAAAATCTTAGCTTTTTATGTATATTTTCACCAAAGAAAAAAGAAAAAACGTCGAGAAGGAAGAGGGTTGACATGTCGTGGGGTTTTTAACCAATGTCATAATACAATATGTGTACTACTGTTTCATGAGAAACTATTTGTTCTATAAACCTTCACCTGAAGTACAAAAAAAAAAATTAAAAATCTTAGCTTTTTAATAAATAACATGGTAATTGTAATAATTGTTGCTGTTAGTTGCTGTTGAGTCAATTCCTACTCATGGCAACCCCATGCGTGCACAGTAGAACTGCTTCATAGGGTTTTAAAGGCTGTCACCTTTCAGAAGTAGATCTCCAGGCCTTTCTTTTGAGGGTTCAAACCACCAACCTTTCAGTTAGTATCCGAGTGCTTAACCATTTGCACCACCCAGGTAACAGCCATAATAATAATTAGCCATGTCGATTGATGCTTCAGCCTTAAGTCTTATGAGGACTAGTCACTCACATGTCCCTTTGGATAGGGGTAAGTGCATCTAGACACACAGTTCAGAGGCCTCTCCATGGTCTATAACTGACAGGTGCTCCCTGAGAACACTACTCCCTATGGCAGAGTCACAGCAGCTAGTGAGGTTGCCCCCTTCACTTCACTGGGGTTCCTTAGTCTGGTCTCTTGAGACTGTTTCCCATGAATAGGTAGGATACGGTCTTCTTGCCTCATGGACTTGGGCACTGAAATTTACACCAATTCAAGGGTCATGCCACCCAGCAGGATACAGAGGTGTTCTAGCAAAGCTACTTTGGTGTTCCCAGATGATGGCTCCAGGGATCTTGGATTTTTTAGGCTCCTGATGCTGCTTCTTACTTCCCTGCAGGTTGGGTTATCATTGTTCTTTATCACCTCTCTGAGAGCTCCTATCTGTAAGCCTAGTTCCAAATACCAAATAAGGAATTAGAGCTGAGCAAATAGGAAACAACTAACCCCTCCCCCCACTCCCACCTCTGTTTACTTCAGCAAGTATTTATTGAGTCTCTGTTCTGTATTAAGCATCTTTCCGAACAATGCGGTAGCCAAAAAGACCCCAGGAATGCGTGGGTTTCTGAGAAAGGCAAACATACCATGAAGAACCTATCAGAGAGAAGCCTATACCAGACATGTAATTGTATGTCACTATGGTTATGATCTATGTCCCTGAAATGTGGTAGACATGGTAATCTGGAAGTGCTTGAGGTAGAAGGCTGGAGCAGAGGACATCACTGCAGACAGGTGTAGTCAAGGGAGACATCCTGGAGGAAGTGAGTATTCCTGCTGAATCAAAAATTGTATGTCATATTTGGGTTGGCAAAAGGAAGAGCGTTGTTCAAGAGAAACAGAAGAAAGAATAATTATACTGTTTATAGAGGGAGAACCCAGAGTCTTGTTTTCTTCAGGAATTTGCCTTTAGGCAGACGCTTACTTTTAAGTTTCTAATACAAAAGTAATACACTCCTTTTACTCAACATTCAGGAATAGAAAAATTCACTTGTAATCTCAGCGTCTTAAAACAACTTTTACTGTTTTGTTATATTTTTTGCTTCTCTACATTTGTATTTTTATAGAGTTATAACCAAAGAAATATAAGGGAATAGGTCAGAATGCAACTGTGTTTTTGTATGTTGCCTAATAGTACCCATTATCAACTTAATGGTAGAATAATATTATATATATATATATCCATGCACCAGTCAACTCAAAATGAGAAGAAACAGCTGCAAACATTCATTAATAATCAGAACATGGAATGCACGAAGTATGACTGTAAGAAAATTGGAAATCATCAAAAATGATATGGAATGCATGAAGATCGATATCCTAGGCATTAGTGAGGTGAAATGGACTGGTATTAGCCATTTTGAATCGGACAATTTTATGGTCTACTATGCCAGGAATGATGGATTGAAGAAGAATGGCATCTCAGTCATCGTAAAAAAAAAAAAAAAAAAAAAAATTCAAGATCTATCTGAAGTACGATGTTGTCAGTGATAGGACAATATCCATACGCACACAAGGGAAACCAGTTAATATGACTATTACACAAATTTACTAATGCCCAAGATGAAGAAATTGAAGATTTTTACCAACTTACACAGTCTGAAATTGATCAAACATGCAATCAATATGCATTGATAATTATTGGTGATTGGAATGTGAACGTTCGAAACAAAGAATAAAGATCGGTAATTGGAAAATATGGCCTTGGTGATAGAAACGACACCAGAGATCGCATGATAGAATTTTGCAAGACCAACAACTTATTCATTGCTAATACCTTTTTCAGCAACATAAACAGCCACTATACACATGTAGGATCCCTGGTGGCCCAGTGGTTAAGAGCTTGGCTACTAACCAAAAGGTCGGCAGTTCGAATCCACCAGCCACTCCTTGGAAACCCTGTGAGGCAGTTCTACTCTGTCCTATAGGGTTGCTATGAGTCAGAATTGACTTGAAGGCAACGAGTTTATTTATTTATTTAAAAAAAAAATACATATAGACCTCGCCACATGGAATATACCAGAATCAAATCAACTGCATCTATGTAAAGAGACAATGGAGAAGCTCACTATCGTCAGTCAGAACAAGGCCAGGGGCTGACTGCGGAACAGACCGTCAGTTGCTCATATGCTAGTTCAAGATGAAGCTGAAGAAAATTAAATCCATGAGAGCCAAAGTATGACCTTAAATATATCCCACCTAAATTCAGAGACCATCTCAAGAATAGATTTGACGCATTGAACACTAACGACTGAAAACCAGGTGAATGGTGGGATGAGATGAAGAAAGCAAAAGGTCATTAAAAGACAAGAAAGAAAAGATCACAATGAATATCAGAAGAGACTCTGAAACTTGCTCTTCAACGTAGAGTAGCTAAAGCGAACGGAAGAATTGATGAAGTAAAAGCTGAACAGAAGATTTCAAAGGGTGGCTCAAGAAGACAAAGTAAAATATAATGAAATGTGCAAAGACCTGAAGTTAGAACACCAAAAGGGAAAACACGCACAGCATTTCTTAAGCTGAAACAACTGAAGAAAAAATTTTCAAGCCTTGAGTTGCAGTATTGAAGGATTCTATGGGCAAAATACTGAACAATGTAGGAAGCATCAAAAGAAGATGGAAGGAATACACACAGTCACTGTACCAAAAAAAATTGGTTGACGTTCAGCTGTTTCAGGAGGTAGCATATGATCAAGAAATGATGGTATTGAAGGAAGAAGTCCAAGCTGCACTGAAAGCATTGGTGAAAAACAAGGTTCCAGGAATTGATGGAATGCCAATTGAGATGTTTCAACAAATGGATGCAATGCTGGAAGCATTCACTCGTCTCTGCCAAGAAATTTGGAAGACAGCTATCTGGCCAACAGACTGGAAGAGATTCATATTTGTGCCCATTCCAAAGAAAGGTAATCCAACAGAATGCGGAAATTATCGAAGAATATCATTAATATCACAAGTAAAATTTTGCTAAAGATAATTAAAAAATGGTTGCAGCAGTACATCTCCAGGGAACTGCCAGAAACTCAGTTTGGATTCAGAAGAGTATGTAGAACAAGGGATATCGTTGCTGATGTCAGATGAATCTTGGCTGAAAGCAGAGAATACCAGAAAGATGTTTTATTGATTATGCAAAGGCATTTGACTATGTGGATCATAACAAATTATGATAACATTTTGAAGCATTAGAGTTCCAGAACACTTAACTGTACTCATGCAGAACCTGTACATAGACCAAGAGGCAGTTTTTCAAACAGAACAAGGAGATACTGCATGGTTTAAAATCAGGAAAGGTGTGCGTCAGGGTTGCATTCTTTCACCATACTTGTTCAATCTATATGCTCAGCAAAAAGCTGGACTATATGAAGAACAATGTGGCATCAGGTTTGGAGGAAGACTCATTAACAACCTATGATATGCAGTTGATCCAACCTTGCTTGCTGAAAGCAAAGCGAACTTGAAGCACTTACTGATGAAGATCAAGGACTACAGCCTTCAGTATGCATTACACCTCAACATAAAGAAAACAAAAATCCTCACAGCTGGACCAATAAACAACATCATGATGAATGGTGAAAAGATTGATTTTGTCAAGGATTTCATTTTACTTGGGTCCACAGTCAATGTCCATGGAAGCAACAGTCAAGAAATCCAACGATGTATTGCACTGGGCAAATCTGCTACAAAAGACCTCTTTAATGTGTTAGAAAGCAAAATGTCACTTTGAGGATTAAGGTGTGCCTGACCCAAGCATTGTTTCTTCAGTCACTTCGTATGCATGCAAAAGCTGCACAATGAATAAGGAAGACTGAAGAAGAATTGATGCTCTTGAATTATGGTGTTGGTGAAGAATGTTGAATATACCATGGACTTCCAGAAGAACGAATACATCTGTCTTAGAAGAAGTACAGCCAGAATGCTCCTTAGAAGTGAGGATGGCAGGACTTCGTCTCATGTGCTTTGGACATGTTATCAGGAGGCACCAGTCCCTGGAGAAGGACATCATGCTTGGTAAAGTATAGCGTCAGCAAGAAAAAGGAAGACCCTCGAGGAGATGGATTGACACAATGGCTGCGACAATGGGCTCAAATATAGCAACGATTAGGATGGTGCAGGACCAGGCAGTGTTTTATTCTGTTGTACATAGGGTTGCTGTGAGTTGGAAGACTTGACAGCACCTACCAACAACTAACAATAACATATATTTATGTACATATGTATACCATTATTTACTTAATTTTTCTTTTGAATATTTGAGTTTTTCTGCTTTATTCACAATCACAAATCATGTGGTGAATATTTCTTGCTGCCTATAGCTTTTCCTATACTTTGGATCATATTTTTAGGAATTATACTCTCGAAGTTACAAATACTGAAGGAAGGGCATGCATATTTTTATGACCTTATGATAAGTCTTTTGAAAAAGAGCTTGGCAATATGTATCGATTTTTAGTGCTGCCAGTCACAAATGAAGGAACCTCTTTCACTGCAAACTCATCAGTATTAGCTACTTTAACTTAAAAAAAAGTCTGCTTTTATAAGTTAAGACAAGTGCTGCTCTACCTTCTTTGACTTTGCATTTTCCTGCGTTTATAACTTCCATATCCTCATTTGCAGCCAGTCTGTTCATGTTTTAACCAGAAGCTCCAGTTCACTTCGTGCAGAAAAATAGAAAATATGGGAAGACTTGTGCAGATGTTCCCAGCAAACAGTGTTTTGAAAATCATCTGCAATTCTCTTTTCGTTTCCGTAAAAACATATATAAGAGCAGAAGAGGTAGTGGAACTAATACCCCTTTTATCTAGCAGTTCTAGGGGAAAACAGAAGGAAAGCCTGCGTGTATTTTGGACTTCTTACTTAAATGCTGCATATGAAAAATCAGTAGGAGCCTTAGAACTGTACATACCCTGTTCCTTGTCATCAATTTGAGGAAGGCTGCCTCCTTTGAGATCTCACTGTTTGGTCTAAACATCTCTGCAGGTAACTAGTGTCCCAGAAGACCAGATCCTGGTGGCTGTGTTCCCTGGCCTTCCCACATCAGCAGAGCTCTTTATCCTTCCCCCCAAGAACTTGACAGAGAGGAGGAAAGGCAATGAAGAGGACCTGGAACAAGTAAGTGAAAGAAAACTTGACTGAGACACTTGCCTTCCACCCTATACTTTGAGGGGACACAGAGTTATTCCCAGCCAAAAAAGGAGACAAGTTGTCTTCCGTTGTCCTTCCTTTGACCAGAGCCCAGGGCTCTGAAGAACACTTAGCTTTACCCAGAATAAACACAAACGCAAATAGACTGGAGCATTGAGCCACGAAGGGAGAAAACACAACCCTGGCATCATTCATTCCAGCCGTTGGCATCCTTGTCCATTGCTCATGTCGCCCTCTCAATGACTTGTGCTGGGAAGGTGGGGGAGGGAGGGAAGGGTGAAAGAGAGATTTATTGGTTGGTTGGTTGATTGACTGATTGACTTGAGTTTCCCTATTTATTCTGGGAGAATTTGCTCCTTGTCTTTAAACTGCATTGGCTCTAGAGATCCTGGTCAATTTAAGTTCTGCTTCTGGGGAGAAAACAAACTACTTTTAAACATGCCTCTCTGGAGAGCAGTGGCTTCCCTCATCTTTACGTTAACTAAGAAAATAGCATTTCCCGAAGGGATGATTTACTGCCCTTAACAAATGGGCATATAGTTTCTGTGATCTGCACACTGTCCAGAAGTAAAGGAAATGGCAGCTCCAGTGCAACTCTTTCTCTCGAGGCCGGCTTTTGTAAAGGTCTGATTGGCTGCCCTTGGCTCTGCCCTGCCCTGCCTTCCCATGATGCTTAGTCACTAGAAGTAGAAATAAATGAGAATGAGACTGCTAAAAGCCAGCGTGAAGCAAATTCATTGACTCCTATGTGAGGTAACCATTGCACAGATATCTCCCGTGTCCCTCTGGTACTCAACTGACCGTCACCTATCCCAGCATGCATCTGCAGCCCTCAGACAGCATAGGTGCATTGCAGTCAGTTTCTCTGGAAAGTGAAACAATTCCTTGCATTGCAGGATTGCATATTGAAGTTGGCCAGAAATAAATACGGCTTCTCAATGCATACATCACTTTTACAAGACCTCTTTCTTCTGAAATAGCAAGTGGCATGTGTGAACTATATTTGGAAGCTAAAGTATCCATCCATTTAGATAAATAGGTAATTACGGTGATGGATAGCAACTGTGATATTAAGGTGCGTAAGGCGAGATAAGAATTAGGGACAACAGCCTAAGTCTGCCTCAGCTTTCATGTGGGAATTACAGAGTGATTAAATCGATGTTATGTGTTCTGAGACTTGCTGGGGGAGAGTAAAGAGGAAACATTATTCCAGGAAAAAAGAGGAAGCTTTTGCTTTGATGCTTGCCTCCCATTGTCTCTAAGATAGAAAAGTGGAGGAATGGGCTAGGGTATAAGTGCTTGCTTTAATCCTGGTAGGGGCCTCTCTACCCAGTGTGTATTGCTTGATCACATTAAAGAGCTAACGATGAGTTGACTTACTTTCATTGGAACCCACAACAGGCTTTTTCTACGATAGGTTATAAAGACATGGATGAAAGACCACAGAGCTAGGAGTTGAATGAAACTTTGATGTCTGTTATCAACTCTAATTCACTCCTTGACTATGGACACACCTCCTTCTGTCTCACTGTCCTCTTCAGTATAAGGGAACAATATCAACTACTTTATTGGCCTCACAAAGCTCCAAGGTCTGTGAGAACTGAATTGAGAAAGATGTTCCAATATCCTTTCATATACCCAAAACAAAAAAACCCATTGCCATCGAGTCAATTCCAACTCATAGCGACCCTATAGGACACAGTAGAACTGCCTCATAGGGTTTCCTAGGCTGTAAATCTTTAGGGAAGCAGATTGTCACATCTTTCTCCCACAGAGCAGCTGGTGGGTTCGATACTGCCAAATTTTCGGTTCAAAGCCAAGCGTTTTAACCACTGCGCCACCAGGGCTCCTCATCCTTTCATATACAGTCCCCAAATTCAGAACTATGGACTTGTCCGCTGAATGAACATGGTCATTTTTTGCCTATTGACCTTATCTTTGATTTTTTATCCTATTAGGGAGCATCACTCCATGTCATGCCACCTGCAGCCCTTCTTTCTTTCTTTTCCAGGTTGTAGAGATGCTGTTTAATGCTCTAAACCAGAACTTGGTTCAGTTTGAGCTGAAGCCAGGAGTTCAAGTTGTTGTGTATGTCACTCAGCTGACATTAGGTAAGTGCCCGCTGGGGAATGAGAGGGGTCATCTGTTACCCTGCAGGGAGAAGCAGGAGATAATCACAGAACACTTCTCACTAAATGCCTGGAAATGGCTTTGTAGAAGGGCCCTTTTGTGTAGCGATGGTTCAGAAAGATTAGTCACATCTTTTAGGAGGCATCCTGGTGAGGTGGCAGAAGACTTCCTTAGGAGCTATTGAACCCCTTGATGATCTGGGGGAAAAACTAAAATTTCTTTGGCTTGTTTTTTTGTTTGTTTTGTTGTGTGTTTTGTTTAATCTGCAACAGTTGGGATTGTATCAGGTAGTCCTGCCAGTCACAGCGATTGCTGTGGAGTCGATTCTGACCCATGGTAACCCCATGTCCCAGGCTCTTAATTTCTACAATTCTCTGACTCCATGAATCTTGGTTGGGAAAGCAGATTAGCTAATCTTCAAACACCCTTCCAGTTTACGATGTGTGAGTTGAAGCAGCAACAGGGACCGGCTCTACTAGGTTAATGTGTAACAGGAATCCAAAAGGCGTGTCCCATTGGGCATCCACTTCTGACTCTCTACCAGAGCCTATTTGCTAAATGGCCCTTACTGATGTATGACTTCAGATGTGGAGGCTCCAAATATACCCCTCCAGCTGTGTCTTACCAGAACAGAGCACAGGAAGAGAATGGAACACTGCATTAGTATTTAATCCAAAGTTCCCAAGGAGCCACCTATAATCGTCATCAACGGGCACTCTGGCTGTCAAAGAGAAAGAGCTTTCAAGCCCTTATTCTGCTCCCCTCAGTGGGACACATATTGCCCAATTTACACCAAGAGTAGCATGATTTCCCAGGCAGAGTGGAGTTTTCCTTTCCTTAAGAAGCTGTGGTCAGGGATACCATTCTTATCATTGAGGCCAAGCTGCCTGGGCCCTAAGAGCATGCAGGGCAATTGGAGACTGGAAATAAGGATGGAGACCAGCTGGCCTCCTTCTCCAAAGGGTACTCCCTCCAGCTAATAGCTTCCAAGTGAATATGTCTCTTCTTTCCTCCTAGCTCCATTGGTGGACTCTAGCCCTGGGCACAGCAGCTCAGCCATGCTTATGCTCTTGTCGGTGGTGTTTGTTGGCCTGGCTGTGTTTTTGATTTACAAGTTTAAAAGGTATGTGCTACTACCACTCAGTTTTGACTTGGGGACTAAGTTAATGGGAGCTGATTCTTCCCATAGCCAACATCTCTAAACTTATCTCAAGAATGTGATCTTAATTCTCCATGAAGCTCTGTTTGGCATTGGGGAAATAAATGGATTTAAGAATCTGAACTTATCCAATTTATAGGTATAATAAGCTAGGAAAATGAGGACTGGCCTATGACATCAATTTGTTCCCTTCAAGAGAAGTGTAAGGGGTTTTCAAACCTCTTCCAAATTTCTAAAGTGAGGGCTCAGTATTCAGGAGATCTTTTTCTATAGCTTGATACCCATTCAGGGTGCTTATCTAGAGCAAATGCAGCTGAAATCTGATATGCCCATGTACAGAAACACACATATTTTCTTATCTTGTGTTGCAGCTATTCTGTATTTCTGTTTAAATTTGTGTGCGAAAATATTCAACCTTCATTCCTCTCTCTCTCTTTCTGTTTCTAAAGAAAAATTGATCAGAAAAACAAACTCCATATATTCAGAAGTTATTTCTGAAGGCTGTCAGTTAAAACCAGTTGCCATGGAGTCGACTCTGACTCATGGCCACCCGATATGTATCAGAGTAGAACTATGCTCCATAGGATTTTCAATGGCAGATTTTTCAGAAATAGATCTCCAGGGCTTTCTTCTAAGATGCCTCTGGGTGGACTCGAACCTCCAGTCTTTCAGCTGAGGTTCAAGTGCATTAACCTATTGTACCAACCAGGGTCTCCTCTGAAGGCTACATGAGGGGTACTATGACAGGATACTTATTTAAGACATGAAATTAAGTTCAATAACTCTTTACCCTTATTCAAATAGTATAAGACATCTACCAGAAGGTGTACTGGTTAAGAGCATGAACTCTGAAATCAGACAGACCTGATTTTAACTTGTAGCATTTGTAACCTTGAGTAATTGAATTTGCTTCCACAAGCCTTAGTTTCCTCATGTATAAATTGGGGAAAATGGTAATACTCACTTCACAGAGTGCTATGTGACTTAAATATAACAACACCTGTACCTTTCTATACCTATACCTAAACACCAAAGCTAAGTTATTGTAGAGAACAAAAAACATGCCCTCCAAAGATGCCTTCTGTATCACTAACTGGGACATACTAGGCTCCTACAAATTACATCAGTGGGATAGGGATGTGCTTCTTAAGACGTCTGGTATCAGGTACCGTCGAAATAGCATAGCCATTGTCAGATGATTTTCAGAAGCATTACTTGTTCCTGAGAGTATTTCTAGGGACTGAAGGTAATGCTCTTTGATTTTGGAAGAGGTCACTGGTAATGGTGCTTTACTCTCCCCTTCCTCCCTACAGCCCCATTAGCTCTCCTGTAGTGAATTATCTCCTTACTTAAAAACACCAGCTTCACTCAATGAACATTTCAGCATTCGCCACAACAGCTAATGCCTTCAGTGTTCTCCCATGTCCACCTAAAGACAGAGTGAGGTTTACCTTCCCAGTCAATTGACAGACCATTATGTGAGTTCCTAGGAGCCCTGGTTGCGCAGAGGTTAAGCACGCGACCCGCTAAGCGAAAGGTCAATGGTTCAAATCTACCCAGTCATTCTGCGGGAGAAAGATATGGCAGTCTGCCTCCATAAAGATTACAGTCTTGGAAACCCTATGGGGCATTTCTACTCTGTTCTGTAGGGCTGCTATGAGTCAGAACCGACTCGACTGCAAAAGGTTTGGCAAAAGTTCATGGCCTCTTGGATCAAGACGTGTCAACCTCCCTGCCCCTGTTCCTGTTGAAGAGGGGAGAAACCCTTTATATCACAATTAGAGAGAAAGGTTCAATATAGAAAAATCTGGTTAAGGCAACACTCATTTATGGAAGTGCTTTAGTTACATGCAAAGAACAATTTTATTCATCCAAGGATTTGATTGTGGGGAAGCCTGGTGGTTGCTGGACTTGAAGATCAGCTAAACTGGATTTATCACCATTTGGCTCCTGGAACTGTACAATTGCCGAGGACAAGGGGCAATCAGTATAAGTCCTGCAAAGAGGCATTTGTGTCAGGCAGCTGCAAATGACGGCAAGGCTTCTCCTGTGACTTAGACAGTGTTCTGTTCTTTTACCAATGCTGCTGAACTCCTGAGACAATCGCCTTACAGACAATCGACTTATAATGTAGGCATCTCTAAATTTGTATACTTTTACACTTGAATCCATGCCAGGTAATGACATCCCTGAATTATTCTACCTTTGTAGTTCCCAGATATCAACCAATCCCTGCCACATCCTTGACAGCGCATTATGTAGCTACGATTACAGAAAACGAACGTCAAACTTGATCAACAGCAGTCACCTAGGAGGAACCAGTCACCTGTTACCTTTTCTTTTCCAGCCCCCTTTTCTGGAAGTTTTCCTCTCACTGCTCAAGCCCTTTGGTTGAGGTTCTGTTGGGTTTTGTTTTATATATTTGCTCTCCTTCCCCTCACCAGTCACCTGGAACCCTTGGAACTTGCCAACAAGTAGAGATCAGGATTCTCAGTGCCTCCTTTGCTTCTTTCATCACTATTCACTAGAACATTCTGCCAGGATGGAAATATTCTATAATCTGTGCTATCCAATGCTACAGCCACTCATATGACTGAAGAACTGACTTTAAATTTTTTTTAAGTAATTTAAATTTAAGTAGCTACACACATGGCTACTGAACACTGCTCTTTTGGACAACATAGGCTAGAGAAAAGGGTACTTCTCTGTCTCAAAATCACTGGTCATGCTGAGTTTTCAGCCCCAGACTTTTCTCTCTGTAATCTCCGTCATTAATGCATTAAGACATTCATTCATTCAACAAACATTTATTGAGTGCCTACTCTGTGCCAGTCACTGAAAATGATCTCATTGTCGCAGTGGTCACTTGACAGGAAAGGAGAATAAAGTTACCATGTGCTCCAAGCTTCCTTTAAGTACATATCACTCTGCCTCTGACATTCAGTTTTGTTCTTGGGTTTTGGCTGCTATTTTTAATATCTCACAGTAATAATTAAATATCACTGTGAGATAGCTTTTACTTTTTGAAAATTCTACTAAACAAGACCTTTCTATAACTGTAGATTCACTTTTGTTGATTACCCAGGAAAACGTCTGTAGCTTTTATATTTCTTCCAGTCTTTTTTCAGTAGAGCTTTCATTATAGTCTGAAGCCTACCTTGCTGTCTCTAAACACTCTCCCATAGGCTTCTAACACTTGTCATAGATGGAGCAAATGAATAAAAACTGTGTGGTTTTTTTAGGAGACTTGGATTTTTCCATCTTACCTGTCTTATTAAAACCTGTATGACTGTGTGGCCCAAGACGTGTCTCTTAAACTCTTTATTTCCCATCTTTCGCATCTACAAAAGTGGGGTTTAGACTTCAGTTATCTTAAGTATTCCCAACAATCCTACAAGCAGACATGTTAAGAAATAAAAAACAATTAGACAATTTTTTTTAATGCTACAAGTTGTGACATAAAATTTATTCCCTTCTAACCATCTATTAAAAATAAAGATGAAAAATATGCCTGTTTTTATATGTGATTTTAGACATCGAAATGAAGTGAATAATCTTTATAAGGGGAAATTTATCCAGATCCTCATAGATAACATTAGGAAAACGGGAAAGGGGAGGCAAAGAGCTTTGGTTACAGCTCTGAAGTATACAGACTTGTGTGATCAGGGATGGGTTGGCCACTCCCAGCACCTAATAAATATTATAGCTGATCCCAGCATTCATTAGTAATGTGTACTTTTATGAATAGAAGGAATCTAAGTTGTTAGGCTGCATTTTTGTTTAGATAAGAAGAAGAAAGTAGGAGCCAGCATGAATTTTTATAATTATACACATTTAGATAACCCACTGTTGGCAGCCTCACATAGAATCTATTCATTTAAGACTCTGGTAAATTATAGTAAGCAGGTTTAGTATTGGTCATTTGGAATCAGACAATCATATGGTCTGCTATGCCAGAAATGGCAAATTAAAGAACGGCTTCACATTCATTGTCAAAAAAGAACATTTCAAAATCTATCCTGAAGTACACCGCTGTCATTGATAAGATAATATCCATACACCTACAAGAAAGACCAGTTAATACTACTATTATTCATATTTGCGCACCAACCACTAATGCCAAAGATGAAGAAATTGAATATTTTTACCAATTTCTGAAACTGATCAAACATGCAATCAGGATGCATTGATAATGACTGGTGACTGGAATGTGAAATCAAAGAAGAAGGGTCAATAGGTGGAAAATATGGCTTTAGTGATAGAAATGATGCCAGGGATCACATAATAGACGTTTGCAAAACCAATGACTAATTCATTGGAAATTTAAATGGTGACTATACATGTGGACCTCACCAGATGGAATACACAGGAATCAAATCAACTACATCTGTGGAAAGAGACAATGGAGAAGCTCGATATCATCAGCCAGAACAAGGCCAGAGGCCAACTGCAGAACAGACCATCAATTGCTCATATGCAAGCTCAAGTTGAAGCTGAAGCAAATTAAAACAAGTCCATGAGAGCCAAAATATGACTTTAAGTATATCACACCTGAATTTGGAGACTATCTCAAGAATAGATTTGACACGTTGAACATGAGTGACCGAGGACCAGATGAGCTGTGGGATGACATCAAGGACATCATACATGAAGAAAGCAAAAGGTTATTAAAAAGACAGGAAAGAAAGAAAAGACCAAAACAGATATCAGAAGAGACTCAGAAATTTGCTCTTGAACATAGAGTAGCTAAAGGGAATAGAAGAAATGATGTAGTAAAAGAGCTGAACAAAATACTTCAAAGGACAGTTCAAGAGGACAAAGTAAAGTATTATAATGAAATGTGCAAAGACCTGGAGTTAGAAAACCAAAGGGGAAGAAATCCCTTGACATTTCTCAAGCTGAAAGAACTGAAGAAAAAATTCAAGCCTCGAGTTGCAATATTGAGGGATTCTGCAGACAAAATATTGAACGATGCAGGAAGCATCAAAAGAATATGGAAGGAATACACAGAGTCACTGTGCCAAAAAGAATTGGTCAACATTCAGCCATTTCAGGAGGTAGCATATGATCAAGAACTGATGATACTGAAGGAAGAAGTCCAAGCTGCACTAGTGAAAAACAAGGTTCCAAGAATTGATGGAATACCGAATGAGATGTTTCAATGAACAGATGCAATGCTGAAGTGCTCACTTGTCTATGCCGAGAAATTTGGAAGACAGTTACCTGGCCAACTGACTGGAAGAGATCCACATTTGTGCCCATTCCAAAGAAAGATGATCCAACAGAATGTGAAAGTTATCCAACAATATCATTAATATCATAAACAAGTAAAATTTTGCTGAAGATAATTCAAAAATGCTTGCAACGGTACATTGACGGAACTGCTGGATATTAAAGCTGGATTCAGAAGAGGACGTGGGACGAGACATATCATTGCTGGTGTCAAATGGATCTTGGCTGAAAGAAGAGAATACAGAAAGATGTTTACCTATATTTTATTGACTATGCAAAGACATTTAACTGTGTGGATCATAACCGATTATGGATAAGATTGTGAACAATGGGAGTACCGAATCACTTAATTATGCTCATGCAGAACCTGTACATAGACCAAGAGATGGTTGTTTAAACAAAGCAAGGGGATACCACATGGTTTAAAGTCAGGAAGGGTGTGTGTCATAGTTTTACCCTTTCACCATACTTATTTGATCTGTATGCTGAGCAAATCATCCAAGAAGCTGGACTATATGAAAAAGAAGGAGGTATCAGGATTGGAGGAAGATTCATTAACAACCAGCACTGTGCAGATGATACAACCTTGCTTCCTGAAACTGAACAGGACTTGAAGTACTTACTACCGATGAAGATAAAGACTACAGCCTTCGTCATGGATTACACCTCAACATAAAGAAAACAAAAATCCTCACAACTGGACCAATAGGCAACATTGAGATAAATGGAGAAAATATTCAAGTTGTCAAGGATTTCATTTTAGCTGGATTCACAATCAATGCCCGTGGAAGCAGCAATCAAGAAATCAAACAATCTATTGCATTGGGCAAATCTACAGCAAAAATCGTTTTAAATTGTTAAAAAGCAAAGATGTCACCTTGGAGACTAAGGTGTGGGTCTGACTCATGCCATGTTATTTTCATTTGCCTCATATGCATGCGAAAACTGGACAATGAACAAGGAAGATCGTAGAATTGACGCCTTTGAATTATGGTGTTGGCGATGAATATTGAATGAACCATGGACTGCCAGAAGAACAAACAAATCTGTCCTGGAAGAAATATAGCTAGAATGTTCCTTAGAAGGGAGGGTGGCGAGAGTTTGTCTTATGTACTTTGTACGTGTTATCAGGAAGGAACAGTCCCTGGAGAAGGACATCATATTTGGTAAATTAGAGGGTCAGTGAAAAAGAGGAAGACCTTCAAGGAGATGGATTGACATAGTGGCTGCAACATTGGGCTCAAACATAGCAATGATTGTGATGGCGGCATAGGACCGGGCACTGTGTCATTCTGTTGTACATAGAATCGCTATGAGTCAGAGCTGACTCTACAACACCTAACATCAACAGGAACAAGGAGTCATGGGGTGTCTCCCTTGTATGGAAAGCAAACAGTAAAGGCATGAAAACTGAACATAAAGGAAAGGTAGAAACCACATATACGTTAAGCCTCTTTTTGGATTTTTCTCTCGGAATAAGCTCCAGGAAAACCTTATTAATACCCCTACAGTCTGCCTCATTGGGGGTTTGGAAAATGTAGAAGCTTCAAAATAATACTAGTTTGTTGTGAGGAAAAGAGAGTGATTCTCCCTAGAAATGCTCTAAATGTTCCAGATTCAGATGGGTGTCAGGTATCCCAGGTTTTAATCACGTCTGTGTCAGTAGTCGCAGTGATTAACGGCTTGGCTGCGAACCAACAGGTCAGCTGTTCGAATCTACCAGTTGCTCCTTAGAAACCCTATGGGGCAGTTCTACTCTGTCCCATAGGGTTGCTATGAGTCTGAATCGACTCTATGGCAGCGGGCTTGGTTTTTATAGTATGCCAGTAATCAGTTTGGTGAATTGTCTGGACTTTAGTCCAATTTCCTCATCGTTAGATGAGGCTAGCAAGGTTTCCTCTAGATATAATGGTTCTAAATTAGAATATAGTCTTTTAATTTAAGAACGTATTATAGGAAAGTAGGAAGAGCATAGACTTTGGGTGTTACACTCATTCGTTTAATCATTCATTGAACAAATACTTATTGATTGTGAACCACAGTGCTAGCTTAGGTTAAGCGTTAGTCTGCTAACCAAAAGGTCAGCAGTTTGAATCCACCAGTCACTCCTTTGAAACCCTATGGGGCAGTTCTACTCTGTCCTGTAAGGTCACTATGAGTTGGAATTGACTCAACGGCAAGGGGTTTGGTTTTTTGTTTTTGTTTTTCGGTGCTATTTTAGGTATATAACAGTTAACATAGAAATCATGGTTCTTGCCCACATAGGGTTTATAGTCTAGTGGGAGAAAAAGACAACGAATCAAGTTAACAGTCATTACCCATTACATCACCTTAAACCAGCATCCTATTTATTTTCTCCATAAACACTGTCACATAATTACCTGTTTCTAACAGGAGAGATGTGTCATCAGGGAGGCCTCTCTGAGATGACATGTTAGCTAAGTTCCAAAGGATGAGGAAACCATCATGAGCAGAGCAGAAGCAGTGTGTTATAGACAGAAAATTCAGCTGGTTGCAAGTTCCTAAGATGGGGGAGAGCTTGATGTGTTTGTTAGACTCTCGCCACTCGGAGTTTGGGTGTGGCCCAACAGCATCAGCTTCACCTGGGAGGTTAGTAGAAATGCAGACTCTTGACCCTTTTTAGACCTATAGTCACAGTCTGCATGAGGTCCGCAGGTGATGCATATACACAGTGAAGTTGGCAAAGCTAGGTGGATTAGAGGGATTCAAAGGAGCTACAGAAGCTCTAACACAGAGGGTGAGGAGATGATTGTCCCAAGAACATTTCAGTCTGAACATGTCTTCCCCTCCAACCTCAAGTCCATCAGCCTTATCTTTCCAAACCATACTCCTTACCCACATGGGGGCTCTAGTCTAGTGGGAGAAAAAGACAGGGAATCAAGTCACCAGTCATTACCAATTAACCAATTGCCATTGAGTCAATTGTGACTCATAGCAACCCTATAGGACAGAGTAGAACTGCCCCATAGGGTTTCCAAGGCTGTAAATCTTTAGGGAAGCAGATTGCTACATCTTTCTCCCGAGGAGCAGCTGGTGGGTTCAAACTGCCAACCTTTCAGTTAGCAGCTGCAGCCGAGCTCTTAACCACTGCACCACGAGAGTTCCTTCATTATCAATTACATTACACTAAAACTTTATGATTTTGAAGGAAGTTGTTTAGCTTCTCTGTCCCCCTTAACCCTCTTCACAATCCTAAAAGAAAACTACTATTAGCCTCATTGAACAGATGAGGAAGCTGACTATCAAAGTATATACCTGGCCCATGGATGGTGCTCTGAAAATAGTAGCAATGGCTTTGAGTCTATTACTTCTTAGCCAATGTGAATCGATGAAATGGATGCAGCCTTAGAAAAAGTTCTTCCTACTATGATACAACCTCATGGGTCTCAAAGTCCAGCTCCTTTAAAAAGGTTTTAAAGGTTTTAAGAGTTTTTGTGGTAGCCTAATGGTTAATTAAACACTTGGCTGCTAACCAAAAGGTTGGCAGTTTGAACTCACCCAGTGGCTCTGCTGGAAAAAGACCTGGCGATCTGCTCCCATTAAGATTACAGCCTACAAAACCCAATGGGACAATTCTACTCTGTCATATGGGGTCTCTGTGAGTCAAAAATCAACTTGCTGACCCTAACAACAAGTACATAACTGAACAGCATTTCTTTTCTGTTTATGTCTGCTTGTTTTTTTTACCCCAGGAGAAGGTGCATCCCTCAGGGAATTCAGTGCTTTACATCTTCCCTAGGCATCTGAGTCTTCTGGCCTTGTGTTCACTGGCTTCGTGGCCACAGTGTCTCTGGGTGACCAGTCCCTTTCCATGACATGGGCCATTCTTGTTCAAAGCTTCTTCTTCCCCATTACCCAGGATTTCCAGTTGCCCAAGTGAACCATGCCCTGTGATCATAATCTGATTTTACTCCCGCCCATGTAGGAAAATCCCCTGGATTAATATCTATGCTCAAGTCCAACATGACAAAGAGCAGGAGATGATTGGGTCCGTGAGCCAAAGTGAAAACGCCCCCAAAATCACCCTCAGTGACTTCACTGAGCCTGAGGAACTGCTGGACAAAGAGCTGGACACCCGGGTCATAGGTATGTGCACCTGTACCACTACTTTCCAAGCTCCTGTGTCCTCTGTCCTCCACACACTAGGTCAGCCAGCCCGCTGACCTTCAGACAGAACCGGACTGGAGGGTGGGGAAAAAGAACTGGCCACAGTGTTATACTCATATTTTAAAATTTGTCCCCTACCACTGGCCACATAAAATAGTCAGATTTTTTTTCCCTTAAAAATCAATCAACATTGGAAACAATAGTGGGAGTGGAGGAATGGAACCAACTATCCATCACTGTTTTAATTCGTTTCCTTTTTTTCTCTAAAGCAAACGTATTATATGTCCATGTCAGTAATCACACAGGTGTGGGCTCTGGAGTCTAATAGCCTTGGGTCTATTTTCTTGTTCTGCCATATACTAACTTTGTGACCCCTGTGCCTTATATTTCTCATCTGAAGTGAGAATATTAGCACCTTCCTTCTAGGATCATTGTGATCATTAAATGATACAATGTCTTTAGCACAGTGTCTGGCACATAGTAATTGTTCAATACATGTTGTCTATTACTTTTGTTATCAATAAAGTATAAGTTGTCAGTCAATGTCAAGCAATCTGACCTTGCATGCTTGTGGGGGATGGCAAACATTAAACATGGACTAGAGAAGCCACCAGCGTGAGCTGAAGAGAGAGACTATGCAGGTGCCATATTTAATAAATACCAGTTACTCGCCTGTTCTTGGTGGCTTTGTATTTGCAGTAAATGAAACAGACACAGATCCCTGCTTTTGTGAAGTTTACATTCTTCTCTCCCTGTATCTTCTCTCCCCTGCAGGAGGCATTGCCACCATTGCGAACAGCGAAAGCACAAAGGAGATCCCCAACTGCACTAGTGTTTAATACCAACAAGCCACGTGGTCAACCACCTTTCTGACTTATTTTTGATGATTCCTATTACTATTATCATGGAAAAAGTGAATATGTCTTTTTTACCTTTTGTTTACCAAGGACCCCTTCGTAAGCAGGCAGATGCTTAGCTTTGGGAGAAAAAGGCATTCTTAGCTAATTAGAAAGAGAGAAAAAGAAAAGTGGCTGTATTTGGGCTAAGGGCAAAGGGCATATCTTCCCACAGCTTCCTTGCTTTATTCTGCCAGCGGTAGCGCCAGGACTCCCTTTTTCCTTGTGGTCTCTCTTTCTTTTATTTTTTAAGTTGGCTTGGCTTTTTGTTAACCTCCCATCTCCCCGCTAAAAATCACCAACCTCCCCACCTCACCCCCACACACACATCCGAAACAAACCGTTTCCTAGTTGGATCGCAGGAGGTAGGTTAGTGGGGAGTGGACGTGGCTGCAGAAAGCATGCACACCTGTATGAAAGGGGCCCTGATTTGTGCATGTCAATAGCAAAGCTACAGACGGCTTATTGTATATAATTACAGTGTAAATAGCCTTTTATTTCCTAAGAAATAATTTAATGTTTAGTAAAAAAGAAAAAAGAAAGACACGTGTGTTGGCTTACGCACTCACCCTCGGAGCTGACCAACCCCCAGGCCTGCTTGTTGTGCTGGGTTCTGGATGCTCTCCCTTTGTCGGTCACACTTAACTCTTGCATTGCCGTGTTCATGCCACAGCTGGTTTCTACTTATGTATATACAAGGGAGTGGGGGGGGCTTCTTTGGGGCAATTGATGAAGGAAGGACTATAGAGACCTCATAGAACCTGAGGGTCTTTTGGTTCCATCAGTGACATGGAAGAAATTGTAAGATGAAACCTACTAGAGACTACAAACTGAGACTCAGATGGGGAAACGAGGCTTCCCCTCCCCCAAAAAATAAGTTGAGGGTATTTTATCAGCCTGATATAGTTTCCTCTAAAGAAATAAGGCGATGGATCTAAAAATGATGATGATTGTGTTTGCTGATTGGATTCCATGGAGATGTGTAATACTTGTGATGAATTCTCAGGCTATCCTAAGCTCAGAAAAGTCCCCTGGGTACTAGGGTAAGCCCTGTGAGTGCCTCCTGGCATGGGTAGTAGAGGTAGAGAGGTTGGGAAAGAGGTGACGTTTGTGGGCTCATGAGTCCATGGAAATCCTATAGGCCAAATAGGGCTCTAGCCTTTAATGATATTAGTTAAAGAAGATTTTAGCCCAACTGTGCTATTTGCTTGTCAGATGTACACAACTTCCTTAAAGTGAAATGTCTGCCTTCAGTTCCCTTAAGGTAGTTCTTGCGTCTGGGGTGAGTGGCTTTCAAAGCCGATATTCTCTTTTCTAGCACCACAGCCCCTTCACACATTTACACAAATCAATTTTTTTCCGTAGGGTCACTTGAAGCCATGCTGTAAGCATTCTTTTTATTTTCAGGTACAGCCTGAGCACACTTGTTTTAAAAAAAATTATATACTGTATATATATGGGAGGAAAGGCCACATTTTGTACTTGTTAATTTTTGTGGGATGTTGTTTGCATTCTTCTCTGTGAGATGCAGAGAGAATGTGATATAGAGAAATCTGGCTGGCAACAGCATAGACAAATATTAGGAGCATTTCTAAAAATCCTGCTTTTTTGTTTCAAGGGTTAAACGGGGCAGACTATTGCAATACTTGTACTAAACACTGGAATACAAATGCATGAGTCATATCTGTCTCTACAGTATATGGACATATACTGTTCTTGGTTTTATTGTTCCATTTGAATATTTCTACTGTACAAAAGACAGTGGTTTTGAAATTGTTGAAAATAAATGTATTTTTGTACATCAAAGCTATACACCTGGCTGAGCTTTCTCTCTTTGGACGGTTTTCTTTTCCTATTGTATCAGTCGACTCTTGCTGCAATAATGATATGTGCCCCCCCACAAAAAGAATCTGAATGACTGGTAACAACAGGTATCTATTATTTGCTCAAGTGTCTTCAGGTTGGCTGTGGTTTGACTGAGCTCAGTTGGAATTGCTAGGCTCTGCTGTGCCCATCTGGACTGTAGGCTTTGAAGTCGTCATCATTCTGAGGCCATCATTCTGTTTGCTCTCACCCACAGCCCACTGACCAAAGAAAATTACACAGCCAAATCCAACATCAACGTGCTAGAAAAATAGACTATACCTACTCTGATGGAAGGCACTGCTGAGTCACATGGCAAAAGGTGTGGATATATAATTCAAATAAAGGGAGTGCATGAGAAATTGGAAACAACCCAATCTACCGTACCTATTCAATTTCTGCAAGCTCATGGGGAGCTTTCACTAGATGACCAATTGGAGCCCATAACCAAGTTTCCCATGCTAATGTTTGTGGCCAGGACTTCTGAGCAGAAGTCTTGGTAACTTCCATGCCTTTGAGTCTTCTTTTAAAAATTTATGTTATAAGTACCTTCCCCAAATATTGAGGATAAATGACTTACAGTATTTAATATAGAAGTGGGCTTTTTCAGTCTAACTGATGTTTCATAACATGAAGTGCTTGCACTTCTTTAAGGGATTTTTAATGATTTTGAGCTTCTCACATAAAGTACCTAATATCCCTGTTCCTTGTCAGTGATGAATTTTCTAAGTGCATTAATTTTTGCTTTCAAATGGAATGTGTGCTCTTCCCATGTTAATTTTATGTCCTGGTTGTTAAAATTGTTCCATCAGATTAAAAAGGACAAGAGTCAAATAAAATAATAAAACAGAATGAATCAGGTCCCTTGGGCTAAAGCATGAGTAAGAATATAGTCTCTTAGATGTCACCTCGAAGACTAAGGTGCACCTGACCCAAGCCATGGAGTTTTCAATCACCTAATATGCATGCAGTAGCTGGACAATGAATAAGGAAGACTGAAGAAGAATTGACGCCTTTGAATTGTGGGGTTGGTGAAGAATATTGAATATACCACGGATTGCCAAAAGAACGAACAAATCTGCCTTGGAAGAAGTACAACCAGAATGTTTCTTAGAAGCAAGGACAGTGAGTGAGACTATGTCTCACATACTTTGGACATTTTATCAGGAAGGATCAGTCCCTGGAGAAGAACATCATGCTTGGTAAAGTAGAGGGCCATCAAAAAAGAGTAAGACCCTCAACAAGATAGATTGACGCAGGCGCTGCAACAGTGGACTCAAGCATAACAAGGATTGTGAGGCTGGCACAGGACCGGGCAGAGTTTCCTTCTGTTGTACGTGGGGTTGCTATGAGTTGGAACCGACTCGACAGCACCTAACAACAACAACAGCAACATCTACCAACAGTTGTAAGATTTTCAGATTTCTCAGTAGTAGGGTGAGGCCCAGGCAGATGGCAGGGAGTGAGGCTGGCTTTGTTGTTGTTGTTCTTAGCTGCCATCGAGTCAGCCCCAACTCATGGCTATCCCATGCAGAATGGAACAAACACTACCCAGTTGTACATCATCTCCATGATCAGTTGCAGACTGGACAATGTAGTGATCCATAGGGTTTTCATTGGCTGATTTTTTTAAAGTAGATCACCAGGCCTTTCCTCCTAGTCCGTGTTAGTGTAGACATACCAATGAAACTTGTTCAGCATCATGGCAGCACACTAGGCACCGCTGACAAAGGGTGGTGGCTGTACATGAGGTGTATTGGCTGTGCATGAGGTGTATTGGTGCCTTGGTCTCCCACGTGGAAGGTGAGAATTCTTCCACTGAACCACCATAGCTACTTGTATTGCAGTGCTTCTCACCAGTGGTGAGGAGACTCTGCATCAAAATTGTCATCTTTAAGGCAATTCTAACCCCAGTAACGAACCTGCAGAATCACTCTTGGAGTGATCCCAGGTATCATCATTTTAAGCAGATTCTCAGAGGATTCTCATAGGCACTAAAGTTTGAGAATAACTGCTCTCTCTACCCCTAAAATAGCTCATGAGGAGTGATTGGGTAAAAGTCCCCTCCCCTGGTTCCTCTTACCATGATACAAGGAGCCCTAATGTACAGAAGTGAGAACAGCTGCCGCATTTGCTCATTTCTTCCTGGGCAACAGCTGCAACTCTGAGCAAGTCACCCAATTGAGTTATCTGGGACAAAACACACTATAAGTCAAAGTGGTGATGGATGGTGCCTTGGAAAGAATATTGAGCCAGGAGTTAGGAGCTCTCTGACTTCCAGCAAGTCATTCTGGGCCACAAGTGCCTTATTTGTAAAAGGAAAACACTTTATGGCCTGTCTCTCTAGCTGGTTATGATTTCCAGAGATGTGAAAAGCACATTGGCAATTCCAGATCTATTGAGAGATTACTAATAAGGGCAATAGTTAAAAGAACTCCTACCTTCTGTAGAGGGATAAACTGAGACCCAGAGAAGAAAGTAACTCCCCTAAGTTTGCACAGCAAATTGGTGCAGAGCTCAAGATAGACTCTTCTTTATAATAGGATAGTGTTCCTTCCACCACACACCTCCCTAACAAATGCAAAACTGATTGAATTGGACATCACTGAGAGCCAATGAATAGCCCGATGGTTATGCCGGCATGGCCCCTGTATGTCCAGAACACTGTAGACTCTCCCTTCCCAAGTTTGCTCATCATTCAATGGCTCACAACCCTCCTTGTGCCACTGCCCTGCTGACCCACTTGTTCAGCAGCGCATGGCCTCATGCCCTTGCTTCCCCCACTGGACTGAAATAAAACTGCTCAATGGACAGCCATCAGGTCCCAGCTTCCCATGCTGAGCTGTTCATCTTTTAATGTGGTTGGCCTGTAGAGAGGGAAAAAGGCCAGATAGCAAACATGAGCAAGGGGAATGCCTCCTCTCAACATACACCGGACCCTGCCAAATTCTCTTGTCTGCTACTAGCAGTACTGCCAAAGGAGACCAGAGGTAGCCCATACCTCCAAATTACTACTGCATTTTTATGTCCCTTAAACTTGTTTTAATTACCACTGACTTTACAGTAGTAGATTGTCCTTTAAATTGTCCTTTGCCTCTGTGTTTTCAGACCATATATCATGATGAAATATAGGTTCATTCAGAGAGGAATCAATGAGACATTGTATACAACAAAGAGGGGATGGACTAATCAAGGCTGCCAGAACTGACTCCTAAAAATAAAGACTGAAAGTTCTCAGGTTCTGAAACATGCTCACACTTACCAAATGTGGGGATGCGGTGGAGTAGCCATGCTGCTGGGACAAGGACAGTTTGGACTTGCTTGTTTATGTTTTTTCCACTCTGATATTTAAAACATACTTGATTCTTGTTTACTCTTTCTTCTTGTACAATGTTTTGTGATGACCGGTACAGTTCTAGGTTCTGTGGTCCCTCAAAGCGTCTCTGAGGGTCACTGAAATGCTGGTGAAGATTTAGTGGAACAGAAACTCTCATTCATTACTGGTAGGAATGAAAAATGGTACAAACATCTATGGAAGATGGTCTGGCAGTTTCTTTCTAAACTAAACATTGGCTTACAATTTGATCCAGCAATCATACTCCTAGCTATTACCCAAATGAATTGAAAATGCATATTTACATAAAAACCTGCAGAGGAATGTTTATAACAGCTTTATTCATAATTGTCAAAAATTGGAAGTAGGAGGCAGGGCCAAGATGGTGAAGTAGTCAGATGCTTCCTGTGGTCCCTCTTACAACAAAGACCCCCAAAGAACAAGTGAAACAAGTGTATATGACAATCTAGGAGCACTAAACATCAAAGGCAAAGTTGAGGAATCGGACGGAGTGGCTAGGGGAGGGAGAGAAGGTTCGGAAGCAGCGAGGAGTTGCCAGACCTGACCTGGCAGGAACCAGTACCCTGCAGCCAGCACACACAGTGAGACAAGCAGTGGCCTCGGGAAGTGTTTTCCACATTGGGAGAGACTGAGCGACAGAGTCTACTTGGGGCTCCAGAACCAGTGAAAAGTGGCTCTCAATTGGCAAAAGAAAGTACATGTGCCTGACCTACCACGCAGATCAAAAAACACCCCCTTTGGGAAAAACCTCTTTCCCCTCCCTGCCCCCTGCCCCCTCCCTGCTCTGCACCAGGTCCCAGGCTGGCTTCAGCAATTGCCGAGTCCCCTGGGCTGGAAGTAGGACCCATCACATGCCCTGAGCCACTCTCCTGGCCTTGGAGATGGAATAAATTAACAAACAGGAAAAATAATCTACCAGCTCCCCTAAGCCGGGAACTCAGGATAGGCACAGTTCCTTTGCCTACACACAGGAATAAAGGGTCCACAGAATTTAAATGGTTTTCACCCCTGCATAGACACGTGTGGGCCCATTTCAACAGCGTAGGCCCTCATTGTCATAGTACAACAGGGTATATACCTGAAGCCTAACTTCAACTGTATCAGCTATATGGTGAAGTGGCAGGTTCATGACATTGGACACTGCTCTGCCCATTAAGCAGCGTCTTCACCTACCCACATCAAGGGCCTGAGGACTGGTGGCTCCACCCTCACCACCTAGCCACCCACGACAGGGGTCCAAGAATAAGCAGTGCCTCCCAATCCTTACAGCCAACAGCACTGGGTACCCATAGTCTGGCTGCAAAACCCACTCACCTATGAGCTCTAGGGAACAGGGACACGCTTTCCTCCCAGACACTCAGGGGCAGCTGTCAGCCTCCTGCCTTGCTCAGCACTTGACCCCCTACTGCAGCCAGATACCTGTGCCTACACGAATCACCCCTGCTGTCTAGGACTGTAGGTGAGAGCCTGCACCACACACTTGTTGACTGACTGCCTGGACACCTGAGTTGAATCCATACAAGAAAAGTAAACAGACTCCTAGGCTCACATACCTAGTAACAGATCTAACCACCTGGTGACAGGACGTTAGA